AATTTAAAATTACAAATTTTAGGGTTGGTTAAAATTTTAAAATGTAATTTTACATCTCTATATTTGGCTTAGTTCAATATTTCTATACGTACAAAAACTGTATTTTAATAATCCCTTTATAGGTTGATTTATGTAGTGTAATGGTTTATGGCTCTTTTATTAAAGAGGAACCATTCTACATATTAATTAGAGATATTAATTTTAATAAAGTAATAACCAAATTTATAGAAATAAGAAGACCCAAAGGTTGTTTTCATCGATAAACTGACGATCATATCCGTGTGTCTGTGTTTCAGTTCAATGAAAAGACAAGTTTGAAATTTAAGAGTTTTAATTCTTAGTTTAAACTAATGATTTTAAATGACAATCATAGGAAACACAATCAACATTGGCAACCTTGTTGGACAATCTTTAACAGTTGATATTTTAAACTTGCACAAATAGACCTTGTGTTGGATGTGCTAAGATTGAGGATGATGGAATTATGAATGCGTGCGAGCAGGTGTCTGAGATTGCTTCAGGGAAAGAAAAGGTGAATCTGAGTGAAAAATGATGGTTTGAATTAAACTTAGTTTTTATAAGAAAAACAGCATCAGAACGCTATCTATTGTGTTCTGCCTCACCGACCTTAGGACCCTCTTTCAGATCCGGACGTCACAGGAGGATGTTTCATCCAGGTGACACCTTGGCTGGCAGAGAAGACGAAGGTGCGCTGACGGTCCAGTCCAGAGTTGACCTCGGTACACGTTGATGAAGCGTTTAGCAGATGCGCTTTCTCAAGTTTAAATTAACTCAGAAATCAAAGACTCTGGGACGAGTCTGCGTAAGCTGGTTGCATTACGCTATTCTGTCTGGCTCGACAGGAATAGCGTGGGGGGGAGAAAAGAGCCGGCGGGGCTCCGTTCCCCGTTGGCGTTTGTTCCGCACGTCCTCTCTCTCTCGTTGTCAATCTCATTCTGACTAACTTACCAAAAACCACTTCTCTTCCCAGAGCAAATGTGTTTTGGAGTTACTGTGAATCCAGACCTGTGTGAGCGAGTGTGAAGGTCACCGCTAAGCATCTCCCAAAAACATTAATTAAGTATTGATTCATTATAGTTCATTATGATTACCCAAAGCATAATAATCATTCATTTGATTAAAATACATTTATAATGAGTAAAATGATAGAATGATTATTTAGCATTAATAATGAAGAAAGCGTAAGACTCTTTATTATGACTAGACTTCCTGTGAGAACTCCTTCTTCTGGTGATGCAGGTGTTAGATGTTGTTGATTCCTTGTAGACTTGCTGGCGGCTCAGGTCTTAATCTGTGGGTGAAAGTGCTGGTGACCCAGCTTTGACCCAGCCGGGCAAATACGACCTTTGGCACAGAAAAACCCATACTTCCTCACGTTACATTATGTTACCATGGTTGGCTGTGCTGCATATAGCAATCGGTCTGAGGGAGGAATCAGAATTATGGCTTATCCAAAGACGCAGAGAGAAGAAGAAAATGGTTGGCTCAAGTCAGCAGGAGCAACCTCACCATGACCAGAGATCACAATAACAAAAAGCTGTGTGCAGTGAGTTTAACGTGCACTCTCAAATGTTTTCTATCAAGGCTCTACATGTGTTGCTCTCAACGGCACAAGGCTGCAATTAAACTGTTAAATGTGGTAGGAAATAAACTAATACACCACTCTACAGGCACATTTTGAGGAGGGACAGTTTACTAAGACTAGGCAAGGCAAGGTGAGACTCAGGGCTGATGCTGCACCAACCCTGTTTGTTCATCGCCCTGAACCAAGGAGGAGGAAGGACCCCGCAGTGAGAAGTACAGCAGAACCACTGCATGTTGATCCACTGACCAGTGACCACACATATTGTACTCAAGGAAACTGTGGTATGAATCTTTTGAAATATTCGACATTTGTATTTATTTTATTTTAAAATTATTCTTTATTCTAACAGTGCCATTATAAATTCAGAGAATGAGGAAAGCAGCAGCAGCAGTGAGGCAAATGAGATGAGGGACAGTGAGGGGGGACATGAGATGGTATCAGGAGAGAGGGACATCCCAGGAAGCCATGAGGAGCTGGCGTCACGGCCAGGAGGAGAAAGGAACAGGCTGGAAAACCTAAGGGAGTAAATTGACTATCAAAAAGGCCGTACAGCTCGGTTTTTCAGTGGGTTCAACAGGCTGCAGGTTTCTTCAGGGCATGAGTATCCCTCTGCCTGATGTTAGAAACCTGCAAAGATAAATGCAGCCCATTAAACTGGAACCATGTGTGTTAGGAGAGGTGTGTGACATGCTCAGTTTGAAGGTTAAAAATCTGACAGAGATGGAAAAAGAGTGTGTGCTTACTGTGGATGAGATGGCAATCACTCCAGGCGAGCATCACTCCATCACAGACCAAACTGGGATTTGCCACCACCGTTGTTTCTGGTCAGCTCTCCGCTCAGCCACTATGAAAACATGAAGATGGACACACAACACAGTTTAACCTTTAATGGTTACATAAGATTTTTGTTTTAGTAACTCTTTGACATTTATTTATTGATAATTGTGTTATTGTTAATTCTTATTTCGTGTCATTCATTAATAACAAAAAAGAAAGAGAAAATATCATTTCTATAGCGCCTCTCAAGATAAAAATCACAAGGCCCTTCACAAAAACAAAAAATGTAAAAAAGCATTTAGAAAATGTTTAAAAATATATTTAAAATGAGCAAAAATAGACAATTGTGATTAAAAAAATGTTAAGAAAGAGAGAGAGAGAATAGGAAAGAGGGAAATCAGTGGATCCTGAGGAAGGTGGAATAGGTGGGGAGAGCAGAATAAAGAGAGAGTGGTGAAGAAGGTCATACAAAAGCCAGCTTGAACAGGTGAGTCTTCAGCTGCTTTTTAAAGGAGACCACTGAGTCCACTGATCTCAGGCTCAGGGGGAGAGAGGTCCAGAGTCTGGGGGCCACAGCAGCAAATGACCTGTCACCTTTGGTCTTTAGCCTGGTGCTGCACAACCAGTAGGCTTTGGTCACTGGACCTCAGGGACCTGCTGGGGGTGTAGGGACTAAGAAGATCACCAATGTAAGATGGTGCTTGTCCATATAAGGCCCTATAGACCAGAACCAGTATCTTGAAATGAACCCTGAAGTTGACTGGCAGCCAGTGAAGCTGGAGGAGAAGCAGGGTGATGTGGGTGTGTTTGGAGGACTTGGTCAGAAGCCGAGCACAGGCATTCTGAACCACCTGTAGACGGTTCAGGGAGGTTCTGTTCAGACTGTGTGAATTACTTGTATGTGTGTGTGCATGTAGTTACATGTATGCATGTGTATTTGTATGTGCGTATGTGTAGGGAGTGTGTGTGTGTGAGCAAAAAAGTTTACTCATTGTTGGTCATTCACATGTAAGGGTACGACATGAATGCGTACACAGGTTTTATGAATATGTAAAATGGTTGAGTTTTTAGAACTTAGAGATTTTAGTGTCTGAAGCTTAAAAATGCTGTCTCAAATTGCCCTTCGGGGACTAATAAAGATGTGTTGAGTCATGAGTCTTTACACTGAAAATGGTTGCAGTTAAACACAGAGTTTTATTTAACAAAACAAATGCTGCTGAGGAGACAACAGACCAGAGAGAGCCTCTCTAGTCAGCTGCTCCCTAAACTGAGGGCTGGCTGATTTTTATGTTGCTGACAGAGCTGATCATCAGGACCAGCTGGAAGAGTCTAACTGGGAGGCAATCTAGTGAGATGGAAGACAGGTGCTGCAAATCCTCTCTCTCTCTCTCTCTCTCTCTCTCTCTCTCTCTCTCTCTCTCTCTCTCTCTCTCTCTCTCTCTCTCTCTCTCTCTCTCTCTCTCTCTCTCTCTCTCTCTCTCTCTCTCTCTCTCTCTCTCTCTCTCTCTCTCTCTCTCTCTCTCTCTCTCTCTCTCTCTCTCTCTCTCTCTCTCTCTCTCTCTCTCTCTCTCTCTCTCTCCTCTCTCTCTCTCTCTCAACACTCACACACACACTAAGGCCTAGTCCACACGTAGCCGGGGTTTTTTTTAAAACGATATGTGCCCCTCCAAAAACTTGCATCCACACCACCTCGTTTAAAAAAACTGTCCACACGTACCCGGATAAATACGTTGTTAAGGACATGCCAGACCTGTAGGCGGCAGTACTTCCCCCGTTCTTAACCTCATCCTTCGTCTGTGGTCTTCCGCAAGGAGCAGTAATTCCGCTTGCAAAAACAAACAAGCAAAAGGCGCTTGGACAGTTGATAAAGTGAGCGCAGCTCTGAGGGCATCCATGCTGTCGGCTAGTGTAAACACAGGTCGCACATGTGATGTCAGCATTTTTTGTCGCGGAAAGTGACGTTGCAGACCTTAAAACTCTGGTTTTGTCCGTCCACACGCAGACACCCAAAACGGAGAAAACGCAGATCTTCACTTTGGCCGGAGTTTTTAAAAAGATCAGTTTTCGTGTGAAAAAACTCAGTTTTCGTGTGGACGACAGGCCAAAACCTGTCCACACGTAGCCGGGGATCTGCCAAAACGTAGATATTTTTCTAAGTTTTGGCCTGTCATCCACACAAAAACGGATCTTTTTAAAAAAAAAACGGCTACGTGTGGACTAGGTTTTGGCAGATCCCCGGCTACGTGTGGACAGGGCCTAAAACTCAGGGAAACCCAAATGGCCCTGGACCTTAACAAAAGTCATTAGAAATAATGACAAAGTTGCTAAGTTGGCAACAAAAACAAACTCGACAAGTAAAATGTTTAATACATTTCAAAAGATCAAGCACCATTGTTTTAGGGGGCGTGGCCTAAATTTACCTGCATAAAAGGCCATGGAACCCACCTGACAGAAAGCTCCTGCTGCAGACGGTAAGACGCGCATCTTTTTCTTCTCTGAGACTTTCTGGTAAAAGAGCAAAAGGAAAAGTTTATCATGCTGCCATATTCTACAACTCAAACATATAATGGAGTTTTATTTAGCTGATTTTGATGCTACAGTGTCTTATTATTTTTTTACTGAAACAAAAAGTCTTAACAGGTATCACCAGCTTCTCTTTTCTCTGGCAGTTTTGAGTCCATCATGCTGAAGTCAGGAGCTCTGGTTCTCTTCCTGGCAGGTGAGAAGAGCTAGGAGTTGTGGCATCAAAAAGCCAACTTCATGGTGTGATTTTGCTCTGCTCAGCAGCTGAACCTGGTTCATTCACTGTGCTGATTGAAGTCACCTGGTTTAGTTGCTGAACTGAAGAACAACATGGCATGTAGATGACATGGAGATCATGTCTTATGGGAAGCTGTGATGGATGACAACATGAGGTCTCAATGTATTCTGCAGTTGCTGCCAGCCAGTTTCACCAGTACCAGTGTGTGATGATTATTGGTACCGGAAGTGCGGACTTCAGTTCCTGTCCTATCACGTACTTTGGATTAAATCATACTGTGTTGCAAGTGAGTAAAATCCAGCCACAAGTTGGAAAATGGTCATATTTAGCAAACAGCCTGTAAAACTGGAGCTGCAGTGAAGTGATCTACACTTGTATAGCACCTTTCAGAGTCGGAGGACTCCAAAGCACTTTACACTAACGTGTATCATTAACACACATTCACATGATGATGAGCTAAATTGTAGCCTCAGCTGCCCTGTGGCTCACTGACAGGCGAGGCTGCTGAGCACAGGCACCACTAGTCCTCCGACCACCATCAGCAGGCAAGGTGGGTTAGGTGCCTTGCCCAAGGACACAATGGTTCTCTGCCAGGAGCTGGGATCGATCCTACAACCTTCTGATTGCTGGACAACCCGCTCTACCTCCTGAGCTGCTGCCGCCCCGTAATATCTGATGGTACATTTAAAAGCCAACATTGGCCGAGTAGGCCAACAATATCCGACTTAACCAGATGTTTGGCAAAATCCACTAAACCATCTGAAACTAAGCTCTTCCTACCCAGTTGAACAAGGTAAACTACCCACTTGGAGAAACATGTAACAGATCCTTTTATTGCATCTTTTGTTCCAGATACACTTTGAAGACCCTCTTTTCAAGGTGTGTGCAAAAGACGACAACCCAGACTGCCTGCTTCTGGTGGTTCCAGGAACCGACCGCGCTTCGGTGGAGGTTCTGGGTCAGGGGCCAGGTCTTGGATCACTCATCCAAAAAACCTTCCACAACATCAAGTCTGCTTCACCCTGCACACTTAAAATCAAACTGCAAGATTCTGCAGGCATGACTCATGTAAGTGTTACTCGTTTATACAGGCTTTTCTTTAAATTCTGATTGGAGGGATCAGTGGTGCTGCAGCAGACCACCTGTCGGGGTGCCACTGGTCCAGGGGCCCCAAGCAATCGCCTGTCCTGCCTGTTATACGACTTGTCTGCAACAGATTAAAGTTTGTTTTCTGTATTCAGCTGACATTTTTAGTCTTCAACTTTGGCAAACAATCAGTTCTGCAGTTCAATCCAACCAGACTCTTCACCCTGTCTGACCTTGTGAGTACTGATGTGTGACTGAACTTCTGTTTGTATGAGATTTAAATTTCTGTCGTGCAAATTAATGTGTATAAAAAAAAGCTTAAATTGAAGGATTGGGTTAAAATAAGCAGAAACTTTCACAGGTGCAAATCTTATAAAACGGGCACCAATTTTTTATTAAAGAAATTACTTCTAGTCTGACTGACTTTCTATGGCATCAAGATAATGGTCCCGCTTAATTTCTTTTTCAGAACGTCACGTTTGTATTCCATAGCAATCCTGCAACATCAACACTATATAAATTATCTGACTGGAAGAACGGAGTGCTCATAGACTCAAGTGGCTGGTTAGTGAATAGAACACAAAATAAAATAACAAGGCCAGGTAAATCTAATTGTTTAAAACAAAAAATCTGTATTAACTTTTTCCAAACTTCATATCACCCCCGGCAGGTCTGGTTATAGCAGCTGGTAAATCAAAGCATGTGAAATCTTCCTGCTCATATGCCGTCTGCAGCCCGACTGCAGATCTAACTGAGAACAGTTTATGTAGACCTACTGAATTCTGCGACGTCAACATTGGGTAAGTCTAGCTGGAATTTGGTTCTCTGGAGCGATTTGACTCGGCTGTGTCCTGCTCGGTCTGCTGCAGTCGTGTCCTTAGGCAAGGCACTTCACCCTCCTTGGCTGGTGGTGGTGAGGGGGACCAATGGCAGAATTGCCTCTGTCAGTGCACCCCGGGTGTGTGTGTGTGTGTTCTAGAAAGTGCTGAGTCAAGTTTTGCCAATAACTATCTTTGATATGTAGTTCATTACCAATTAAGTCCCTTATTTGATCAAATGGGAAGATGTGCTGTGAGTTTAGACGTAGAGACTTGGATTGTCAGGTGGGGTCTGGTGACATTAAATGTCCACATTTAAGCAACAGTTTGGATTTTCTGAAACATGCTTTTAGGGACAAAGTTCATGCTAAACAAACGACACCACACTCGCGTCGAGCCAGCAACACAAACGAGGCGAAGTTTGTTTCAGATTTGAGAAATGGCTCCGACCATCTTTAATCTGCTCTAGCTCACAAACTAGAACACTCACTCTTCAAACCTATAGTGGAATATTCTAGACTAATTGCAGATGGGGAGCCTGAGTCGCACCCATGTACCTCCGGTCCCCAGAAAAATGCGAAAACGACGCTGTGTTAAGTTGTGTGAAAATAAGTCCAGGACTACAAATGTGCTTCACGAAAGTGACGTCATTGATCCAGACATGGGGAAAAGGCTTTAAGTTCAGCAAGCTACCCATAGGAGGAAAGAACCACCATAAATCTAGTCATTTACTAAGTAGTAGCTCCGCTAGGGGAGAGGAGATTATGTGGTCAGTGACGTTATTGATGCGACGTGCTGATGTAGACGTGTTAATTACCAACCTTTACAAGCTGATCAAAGTGTGTGACTAGGGTGGTTGAAACATCCATTATTTCATTTAAATTGCAGTACAACATATCCATCCAGGGTGTAAGGCAAAGCAGATTAGAAAACTCTTTTAGCCCTGTTCGTTCTTCTGGGGACCCATGAGCCGACCAGAAGGGAGGATACCTATACTTGCCCCGATGCAGCATTTTAACTGAATCCAAAGATGAATTCAAGTGCTTTATTTTCAGAGTTTGGTTGAAGTGTTTGGTTTTTGGTCTTCAGTAATAGAAGTTTATGACCAACTGGAAAAATTATGGCTTAGTGCTGGAGAGGTTTTTGGGGATTTTCTACGCGACTTTTTACATTTTTGGCCTCGCAACCCTCAGGATCAATCCCCTTTGTGCAGGAATGTAAATTTAACAGATGTGCCTTTCTATCTCAACCAGGTGTGTTGCACACTTATGAGGGAAAAGGAGAGACCAGGAAGAAATGAGGTCAGGAAATGGTTAGAATTGCATTCAGCTCCATACTTTAACACAATTTTTATTCTTGTATGAGGTATCATTTAACATTTTTAAAATGTTTCCAAGTACCAGATTTTATTTGAGCTTTAAATTTGAACTTATTTTCACTGAATCATGACTAATATTTTTTCCCCCTCCATTTCAGGTGATCGATCCAGATGGCAGAAACTTTTATTTGGTCACAGATTATCGGGACTTTTCAAATGTGCGAAAGTGCTGAACTAACTTCACATTAATAGTTGTTTTGGTCATGCTTTGATGTGGTGTTTTTCACATTGATATATTCTTTACTAATGCAGGAAGAGTCAAATAAAATAATTGAGGTTAAGTTTGAATATTTGTAGGAGGGTTGGAGCTTATGGGAGAAATTAAATGGATGATGGTGCAAAAGTGATTTTGATTGTGTGGAAAAGCTTTCTGAACTTTGTCACTGGCATTCTTGTATTTCATTGCAAAAATTTAAAATGGGTTTAATGTAATTGAGTAGATCTGTAATTTGAAATGACAAAAATCTGTAGAGTATTATCGAGTAATGTAGACACATGTTCGCTTTATTTTTTTTTCTTCCTTTCTAGATGTACAATTGGATGCCAAAATATAAGCCATAATTTTCCTATATAAATCCTTGGCGGTGACAATTCATTTTTTATATATCATGAGGGAGACACTATTTCTGTTATCCACCTGTTCGGGTCATGGGAACAGCATCCTAACAAACATGGACGTAATATTCACTTTAGAAGTGGGGTGGACACGGGGGGGTATCTTTACAGTATGTTCTAATGGGAAACAGGCTCTAACACAAACGGATGTTTTCTGCTTGGTCCTAGAGCTCAACCAGTGTCAATTTAATATAAAGTAATATTGTTTTTGGATGGTAAAAAGTGCAGGGGTCAAAACTTCACTTTGGAAAAAGTGTGTGGGGGGGGGGGGGGGACATGCTGACAAATGAGTTCCAGACTGTCCTCTTCCAGGCGGCTCCTCCGGCAGGATGCCACAAAATCCTGTATCCTGGGTCATCCAGGGGGCCTACTGCTAGCAGGACATGCCTGAAATGCCTCCCTGGGAAGGTGTTCAGGAAGCATCCTAACAAGATGCCCAAACTACCTAAACTGACTTGTCTTGTTATGAAGGAGCAGTGGCTCTACTCCGAGTCTCTCCCGAATGTCTGAGCTCCTCACCCTATCCCTAAGGCTGAGCCCAGCCACCCCGCAGAGAGAACTCATTTCGGCTGCTTGTATCTATGATCCTGTTGGACATTACCCAAAGCTCATGACCATAGGCGAAGACTGCGTGATGGACTGGTAAATTGAGAGCCTTGCTTTAGAGCTCAGCTCCTCCTTCACAACAGCAACTGCAGACGCTGCCCTTATCTGCCTGTTGATTTCCCACTCCCTGCTTCCCTCATTCATGAACAAGACCCTGAGATACTTGAACTCCTCCACTTGAGGCATGACCTCTCCTGACCTGAAGTTGGCAAGCTGCCCTTATCCAGTCAAGGATAGGTGCCGATCCTTATCCCAGCCGTTTCACACTCTGCTGCAAACCTCCCTAGCAAGAGCTGTGGGTCGGAGCTTGATGAAGCTAGGAGGACTACATCATCCTCATAAAGCAGATGAGATTGAGAAGTGGCACAAAGTTTATGGGATTTACAGAACATGTACAATAATTAAAACAAAAATAGACAGGTGCATAAATTTGGGCAATAACCTTTTGATTCCAAATCCTTTAGGACTAATTATTGGAATTCAAAATTGGTTTGGTAAACTCGGTGGCCCTTGACCTCCATACACAGGTAAATCCAATTATGAGAGGGTATTTGAGGGGGCCAATTGTAAGTTTTCCTCTTCAAATATTCTCTGAAGAGCAGCAACATGGCGGTCTCAAAGCAACTCTCACATGGCCTGAAAACAAATGTCCATGGTTCAGAGGATGGAAACAGAAAGCTGTCTCAGATTTCAGCTGTCTGTTTCCACGGTTAGGAACATTTTTTTTGTCCCGGAACTGCGCTGCTCTGGGTGGCTGCATGTTGGAGTAGCTCTGTTGACTATATGTAAGTTTAGCCTTTTCTTGGACATTTTTTCTTCTAGTTTCACAAGAAAAACTATTTTTTGGACACTTTACTTTTCTGTTTCTGGTGCTGTGAAGCTTGGAGGATTTTTACTGCTATTTTTTTTTTTAGCTTTTTTCACTTTTTGAACATTTTTATGATGCGTAACCATGGCAACAAGCTGGTTTAACATCGGGAGCAGCTGATTAACATTGGAAAGGCTGAAATGATTCCTCAGCTGACGCCACAAATCCCAAATGAGCTAAAATGTAAAAAGCGTGGATGCGGAGCGGGAGCAAAACGGAGACAGAGAAAGAGGAAATCCAAACCATCTCTTCCATCGATCATAATGGGCAATGTGAGATCACTGGCCAACAAGATGGAGGGACTCCAAGCCCTTTCAAGGACTCAGCCAGAGTTTCAGCAGTTTCGGAACCGCTGGAGGAGATAACGCAAAGGAGGATTCTCCAGAGAATCAGGAAAATTATGGACAACCTGAGCATTCTCTTCACAAGACTGTCCGACAACGGAAGAGTGTCTTCAGTCAGAGGCTTCTTCAGTTTCGCTGCAACACTGACCGCTACTGGAGATCCTTCCTGCCAACAGCCATTGTAATATACAACAACTCTTTGATGACTTGATTATTATTATTATTCTGAGCTACTACAGCAATCAATTCCCCTCTGGGATTAATAAAGTATTTTTGAATTGAATTGAATATTGAGGAAATGGAAAACCACAGGCACAATTCTAGTTAAGGCTCCAAGTGGAGGACCAAGAAAAGCCTCAGATAAACAGAAGTGAAGAATGGTGAGAACAGTCAGAGTCAACCCACAGATCAGCACCAAAGACCTACAACATCATCTTACTGCAGATGGATCACTGTGCATCGTTCAACTATTTTGTGCACTTTACACAAGGAGATGCTGTACCTGAGTGATGCAGAGGAAGCCTTTTCTCCATCCACAGCACCGACAGAGCTGCTAAAGCACGTTTGAACATGTCAGCTTCATTCTGGAATAAGGTGCTGTGGACTGATGAAACTTAAACTGAGTTATTTGGGCAGAACAAGAGGTGTTATGCATGGAGGAAGAAGAACACAGCATTCCAAGAAAAACACCTGCCTACAGTAAAACATGGTGGTGGTTCCATCATGTGATGGGGCTGTGAGGCCAGTGCAGGGACTGGGAATCTTGTCAAGAGTTGAGGAACGCATGGATTCCACTGAATATCAGTAGATTCTGGAGACCAATGTCCAGGAATCAGTGACGAAGCTGAAGCTGCACCAAGGAGCAAATACCTTCAACCAGAATCCAGACTCGTTGGAAGCTATGAGGATTCAGAGGCTGTTGTTTCTGCAAAAGGAGAAGCTACTAAATATTGAGTAAGCACACACACACACACACACACACACACACACACACACACACACACACACACACACACACACACACACACATATGGTTGTCTTTCTATCTCATTGAGGACCAGCCATTGACTGCTATTCATTTTCATGACTGTATTATACCCACAGTGTTTGTGTGCCTTTCACATTTTTCATATCAGCAAACAGAAAATCCAAACAGATCCAGGCTGTTTCAGCCACTTTCTTTCATGTTCAGGTTATGTTCTGTTATTAAAATGATTTACTGTTATGAACGTTTAAGCAACAAAGCAAACAACCAGCAGAAATCTGTAAAGTAGAAAATATTCTTTTCACAATACTGAAAAAGTGAATTGGCAATGTTATTGAAAGCCACGAGAGGGCGCCATAAGATAAATAAAACAGGCGGGAAAAACCTGCTGATGACTAGGAGGTCATCGAGTCGCTGATGTCAGGATAACTGACACGCGGATCTTCACCTAAATACATCCGAAGGTTTAGATTATCTTTGCTTTAAATGGAAAATTCAGAGAAGAAGAGTAGTGACGTCACCAGGAGCCGTTGAGATAAAAGCGAAGAAGAAATGAACCGGTTCACTGCAGTCACAAAGAGCAGCGTTTTAATGTAAGTTTAAAGGTTTGTTACTAATAATTAAAGTGGATCAGCCATATTTTTAAGTTTGATTTTTAAGTAACGAATTACTTTCACCTGTTGTTTGTTGACGTTTGTTTACAGAAACGTAGCTTTGTTTGCTATTAGCGTACACTTTATAAACTATAACTACCAGATTATTCAGAAGGAAAATATAATTTTATTTATATTTTTAAACCCTTTTTTTTGGCTGAAAGTTCATTTGCAAATTTTTTTGTAGTTTGTAGATTTTTTTTTATTCAACCACAACTTCAAACCAGTAATTGGTAAAATAAAAAAAAACTATTTTCACAATTTATGAATATTTTAATCACCTTATTGTATTATCTGCAGCTGAGACCCCCTCAGTGTCCGTGTGGGTTTAACTATCTGGATTACTGTGAAGGATAAAGCAGCACAATCAGGTTTCTTCATTAATCTTTCAGCTGTAGCTGATGCTGGTGGAGGTGGCTGAACCCGAGGAGGCCTCATGGATTCCGCTCGCTACAGAGACGACCTCAGGGTCTCAGCGGGGAGGATGAAGTGGTGGAGGGAGGTGGACAGGTGGAGAACCACAGGAGAAGAAAGGAACGAAGAGGAGGAGGATGAAGAGCTGATGGAGGTGCTGCTCCGAGGCAAAGCCCCGTGGGGCTTCACCCTGAGAGGGGGCACCGAGCACAGAGAGCCGCTGATCATCACAAAGGTGGTAAACTGTTGACATGGTTAGAAAAGGGCTTCAGTTTTCAGGTTTGTGACAAAAAAAAAAAAAAGAAGTCATGAGACAAAGATCTTAAAGCCGACCTGATATGTAACAATGATCCGTCCGACACCAGTTAGATTAATCACTGACAGCCGTTAGAAACATGAATGTTGGGTTTGAACATTTGTTGTTGGGGACTGAATCCTGAGCCGGTGGATGCTTTTCCCTTACTGATCGGTCCACCTGAAGCCTCCTCAGGTTACAGGTTTAAATATTAATCAGGTTCTGCTGCATGGTGAGGGCTATTATTACTAAAACTAGGCTGGCTTGTGTTATTAAAATCTAAGAACGCTGTTATTCCTGAAGTTGGTGCCAAAGATACAACCAGAAACGCGTATTTCATTGTATTTAAGTCAGACATGTAGTTTTATTCTGAAATCTGCTGCTTTGAGCCGAGGGTTCACATTTAGCTTATTTTTAACATTTAGTCTTCATCCATCTAAAGTCCTAGTTCTGTTTTCTGATTAATGTTCTACGCTCTTGTATCCAGGTGGAGAAGGGCAGCATGGCGGCTTTGGTCCGCCTCCAGGCCGGTGATGAGGTGGTGAGCGTGAACGCGGTCCCTCTCAGTGGCTCACGAGAGGAGGCCATCTGTCTGGTGAAGGGCTCCCACAAGACCCTGACCCTGGTGGTCCGCAGGTACCGACACCTGAGATCTGGAGCCAACGTTTTGTTTCTTTAGTGGCACTTTTCATGGTTCGTGTGCAGTTTCTTCACCGGTTCACCTCGAGGAGAAATACTTGTTTTTGATTAACTACCTTTCAGCCATCCTGGGGTCAAAGGTCAAAGCTGAAGCAGACTGACGATAAATAAACTCTGTGAAGGTTTTCCTCACTCGTAACTCCAGAGCTGACGAGACGCAGAAAGACGTTGACGCCTAAAAACAATCTTTCTGCTTATTTGACGGCTGCTTTATTTAGAACAGGCTCAGCCCGATGGACCTTACACCGGGGCCTCTTGCTGCCTGTTTGCTCCTGAGCGCCTAACAAAAGCCTGTATTGTGGAGGCTGTTGAGCTGGAGCCAGCAGCGTTATTTCAGAGCGCACATAAATTAAACGGAGACGCTCTGTCAGACCTCATCAGACCAGATCTGGTGTCCTCGTGTGCAGCACCAGGCTAAAGGTCAAAGGTGACAGATCATTTGCTGCTGTGGCCCCCAGACTCTGGAACGCTTTCCCCCTGAGTCCGAGATCAGTGGACTCAGTGGTCTCCTTTAAAAAGCAGCTGAAGACTCACTTGTTCAAGCTGGCTTTTGTATGACCTTCTTCACCTCTCTCTCTTTATTCTGCTCTCCACCCCTATTCCACCTTCCTCAGGATCCACTGATTTCCCTCTTTCCTATTCACTCTCTCTCTTTCTTAACATTTTTACTCACAATTGTCTATTTTTTGCTCATTTTAAACATATTTTTAATCATTTTCTAAATTATTTTTTATATTTTTACAATTTTTGTTTGCGAAGCGCCTCGTGATTTTTATCTTGAGAGGCGCTATAGAAATGATATTTTCCTCTTCTTCTTCTTCTCGTGGTTCAGGAGATGAGAAGAGTTGACTTCTAAGCCCGATTTGACTTTTAGGTCAGAAAGTACAAAACAAAACAGCTGGGATTAAAAATACAGATTAAAGTATTTTAAAAGCTACTTTTTAAATTTAATTTAATGAAAGATTCAGTTTAAAATGACACAAAACTTTTCTTGCTTCTTTTGTACATTTTTTCAAGGACAAAAAGCAAAAGCTTTGATTATTTTCTTGTTAATTGTGCAGATGTTACTAGATCGTGAAAGCACCAATATAAAAATTAAAAACAGCAGCGTGTTGGAGCTATATCAGCTGGAAATGGGAGACCAATTCACTTCAATTACTAATTTTGTGTAAATAAAAACACATATCTGCAGTCTGAGACGTTGATTAAATGCTTTTTAGCTTTCCGTACTGCAGTTCTAACTCAGAAATGGGTTTATCACCAATTTTTATAATAATAAACACACAAAACTGCACATATGTAAAAACAGATGAAGCTAAACGTATGACAAATAAAGCTAAATGATGTTTAGTTTCCCGTTTTCTAGCATAAACATTTAAATCACACCTGTTGCTTATACAATGATACAATGACTTCCTGTTGCTTTGAACTCTGATGTTTCTCTTCAAAGATAACCTTTTTAACTGCTTCCTGAAGCCTCTTCCTGACATGTGCGGCTGATGTCCTGTCCTGTCAGACTTCTACACACACATCCCCACCAACAGAGGCTTAAACCTGAATCCTATTACTGGTTGTAAAGCCACTGGCATGAGCTCAGCTCTGTGGAGCGGGTCGAGTCACCCTGAGGGATCTCTGCTCTGCTGCTGCCTCTCTGCAACCTGTTGCTGTGGAAACGGTTCATCAGAACAGGTTCAGAGGACAAAACTTCAGCTTAGGAACAAGAGCAGGAATGTTCAGACTGGCTCCTAAAGATGGCAGAGTTTCTGTCAGAGCTGTAGAGTCTGGGAGCACCCCCTTGTAGTCAGGAGGAGTGGTACGGTCCGTGTTACCTAGGTGAGTGGACACTGCTTAGTGAGATAGGCCATATCAGCACAGCTCATTGTTTTCAGGGGCTTTGGTTTCTCCAGAGAGCTGAGAGTGGGCGCTCGGATCTGGTCCTTCCTCTCTGGACATGGAGCGCTGATAGAAGATAAAGATTTTCACTTCCAGGTATTTTCTCATCTTGTCTTCATAGGTCTTCTTTGATTCAGTCGTTTAGTTTCCCTGAGAAGAGGAATGAAGAAAAACATCTGGTTTTTGTTTCGAAACACCCTGAAAATGTATTTAAGAGTGGTGCAAAAGTTAAATTACATCTGACTGCTGCTCCACTCAGGATGGTGTGCGTGTGCGTGTGCGTGTGCGTGTGCGTGTGTGTGTGTGTGTGTGTGTGTGTGTGTGTGTGTGTGTGTGTGTGTGTGTGTGTGTGTGTCACAGCTCTAAATCACACACACCACTCCATCACTGGTGAAAAAGTCTCCTTCTGTAATTTAAAGAGAAATGTTGTTTTTTAAATAAATCAGACTCACATTTACGTCTGTCTGTTCAACAATAAGTCATTTAGGTTTATTTTTCAGGATTTCCAGACAAGAGTTTTAAAATGTCTATGCTTTGTGCCATTCTTCTTGTCTGCCAAGGCGTGTGGGTGTTTAGTAGTAAAATATCTCCTGGACCGCTTGATTGATGAAACTCTCAAACATGAAACAGCGGCTGAACATCCATCACTGTGACGCTTGGAGTCAGTCCAACTAAAGATGGCAGCTAGAACAAATTCTGTGTGTTTCACAGCTAAAATCTAATGTTTTCATTCTCATTAAAGGTGCAGTGTGTAAAAATAAAGTAAGATGACATCCAGTGGTCAGATTTTGTTACTGCAATCTCTCAAACGAACAAGATAACTTTTGTGTGGCTCTTATGACTGGCTTTGGTTCTTTAAACAACTCTGGATCTTTTTGCCAGCTGTAGTCAAATTAACGCTGTAGCGTTAGCTCGCAGGAGACACCGCAGCCTCACACTCTGATGTAATTACATCCCTCCTTCCTTTATTTTGAAAGGATAAAAACTAACAATCCCTCTATCCCCGCCGACTGAGAGTAAAATGTGTTTCTGCACAACTTTGCTTCATAATTGAGACATTAGACTTTTTTGAGATTATTTCGCCTTACTTTATTTTTACACACTGACCCTTAAGCCTGATTCCTGCTTCTCCGTCTGCGTCAGTGCGGAGATACGCAACGCCATTATCCGTCCTTGCGGGCCTGCTGGAGAGCTCCGCAAGGACGGACGGAGTCGAGCTCTCTTTTCTAAACATCCGTCCGTCGAGACAGGCAACGCAAGCTTGTGATTGGTCAGGACGCCGCTGTCGTCTACACCGCCGCCATTGCGCCCTCAAAAACATAAAGAGAGCCGAGAATAACAAGCGGCAGACACGGAGAAGCTTGAAGAATACCTCGCGAAAAAACTCTAAAAACATGAACGTTTAATTCCCCCGTGACTGGAGGAGTGAAAAGATGCGCAGCAAGCATTTTATTTGTGGACGGAAATGACAGGAAACGTGGGTTTAGAGGTGGTGAGCGCATGAAGAGGTGGAGGATGAGAGACAAATTTGTCTGTGTTAAAAAGTCTCTTATATAGAAAAACACAATATAAACACATATCTTGGACCGGATACATGGCAGGATACCACAGAACAACGCTACGCCCTCTGCTGTCCTGGTGGGGAATTGCTTTGCAACACTCTCCAGGAGACGGAGATTTCTGAGGGCTAAACATCTCCGTCCGTGCGTGCGTGTCTGTCCCTCTTGGAGCAGACGGAGAAGCATGACTCAGGCTTTAGAGGTCTAAGCTGCAGCTGTTACACACCTGCTTAGACTCTATCAAAACCTGGATGGTGGGAGCTTTCTTCAGCTGAATGAAGATTAGACTGAGATCCTCATCTGTGCCCCAGACAAGCTGGTTCCCAAAGTCAGAGACTCTCTTGGTCAGCTTGCTTCCCACACCAAATCTTCTGTCAGGAATCTTGGCGTGACCTTTGACCCAGCTCTCACCCTGGATTCTCATGCCAGTTCTCTTGTTCGCTCTTCCTTCTTCCATCTCAGGAACGTTGCTAAGCTGAGTCCCATTCTGTCATGCTCTGAACTTGAGACGGTTCTCCACACCTTCATCTCCTCACGCTTAGACTACTGTAACTCTCTTTTCACGTGTCTGAGCAGAACCTCCCTGAACCGTCTACAGGTGGTCCAGAATGCCTGTGCTCGGCTTCTGACCAAGTCCTCCAAACACACCCACATCACCCCGCTTCTCCTCCAGCTTCACTGGCTGCCAGTCAACTTCAGGGTTCATTTCAAGATCCTGGTTCTGGTCTATAGGGCCTTACATGGACAAGCACCGTCTTACATTGGTGATCTTCTTAGTCCCTACACCCCCAGCAGGTCCCTGAGGTCCAGTGATCAAAGCCTACTGGTTGTGCAGCACCAGGCTAAAGGTCAAAGGTGACAGATCATCTGCTGCTGTGGCCCCCAGACTCTGGACCTCTCTCCCCCTGAGCCTGAGATCAGTGGACTCAGTGGTCTCCTTTAAAAAGCAGCTGAAGACTCACCTGTTCAAGCTGGCTTTTGGATGACCTTCTTCACCTCTCTCTCTTTATTCTGCTCTCCCCACCTATTCCACCTTCCTCAGGATCCTCTGATATCCCTCTTTCCTATTCACTCTCTCTCTTTCTCTACATTTTTACTCACAATTGTCTATTTTTTGCTCATTTTCAATATATTTTTAATCATTTTCTAAATTATTTTTTATATCTTTACAATTTTTGTTTGTGAAGCGCCTCGTGATTTTTATCTTGAGAGGCGCTATAGAAAAGATCTTCTCTTCTTCTTCTTCTTGAACTAAAGATGTTTTGTTCCTAACAATATTTTAACTCTTGTGATTTCTCAACCTAACTTCATAAATTCTTTTAAACTCTTATCATGAAGGATATAGCTCTAACTGTACTAAATACAGCTAATCTTACTGATTTTCCTCATATTCCTGCTTTAGCCGTCCTGCTCCTCTGTAGCAGGGATGTTTAGACCTCATCTCATTCTTCTCCACTTGTAACGTTTTCGGTTGCAGCAGCGATAAGCCCAGCTGTGATGACGTTGGCACTTTGTATTGTGTGATTGTGTTCAGAGCTCAGAAGGGAGAGGTCGGCCCCACAGGCTGCTGCTGCTGGTGAATCAGCAGGATGTGCCACCTCTGAGCGGGCTGATGATGCTTTTAGAACATAAAGGATCTGCTCTGAGCTGGAAAATAACCGTTTGATTTGCTGAGCTAGAATGAAGTTAGATGTCCTGTGGCACAAAGTTGATTTAGTTTAGACCGAGGGAGTCGTCAGGTTTAAAAGTTGTGCCGTTTTTGTTTTGATTTGCAAACAAGAGATTGACCATTTTTTTTATTATCTTTATTTCATTTAAAAAAAATAACACAACGGATACAAACAATATTCATGAAAACACAATATATATTTGAATGAAAGGGAGCAGATAGAAGAACAATCTTATTATTTCTGCCCCCTTTTTAAACTTAAATATCAATTTATATTTGTGCAGTCCCTCACCAGTTCTTTCAGTCCCGTAACTGTTCACATTTGTTAATTGTTATGTCCACATCAATTGTCCGTTGTCATATCCACTCAACACACGTGATTTAATGTGTAGACTGAACACTTTTAGAGTTCTTGACTCTTTCCATTCTCTGTCCAGGCAATTCCACAACTTCACATCATTCACAGATATGCTCATTTGCTTCATTCTTGTTCTAAATCTAGGTTTTTTGAAGATTTCAAATCCCTTCAACGAATAACTGCTATCTCTCTTTTCAAATATTTGCTGAATATTCTTTGGCAATGTACCTTTATTTGCTTTATACATTATATGCAATATTCTCCAGTTGACCAAATCATGAAATTTAATTACTTTATATTTTATAAATAATGGGTTAGATGGAGCTGTACTATGTGCTGCCCACATGCTCTTCACTGAGAGTCGTCATCCTGAATAATCTGATCGTAGAAGTTCTGGTGAGTCGCTCATGTATCGTTCTGGCTCTCCAGCTGATTTAGAGGCACATTTTAGTGTTTTCCTGCTGTCGTAGTCAAATTCCAATCTTGGCACATTTTTCCTTCTTACAAAGTTTCCATCAGAGAGAGTTTCAGATAAAACTTCTTAGTTGTGGAATGATCTTCCTCTTGTTGTTGGGCAGATTCCTGCAGTAGTGGTCATCAAACCCGGGCTGAAAACTCATTTTTATTTGCTGGCTTTTTGTTCAGTGGGTCTCCGATGCCACCACTTAGGGATGTACAACACATCCGCATCAATATCGGTATTGGCCGATGTTAGTCAGTTTTTAACATATTGATATTGGTCTGATAATTAAAACTGGGCCAAAATGTTTCTGTTTATTGTAACGTCATGAAGGATTTTGTTTATGTTTATGTATTTAGCAGACACTTTTGTCCAAAGCGACTTACAAGTGATAATCGACATGTTGCCCTTGAGGCTAACAACAACAACAACAACAACTTGACATCAACTTGTGCCGTCAGAATGGAGGTGGTACAAACTGCCGCCACCCAGCAGTCAGAAGCCGTTTTTACAAACAATGTCGTCATTTCGGCATCAAGGATTCTTTGGTCATTTATAAGCGGTCAGACAGACAATTACCGCAATATTACTACCAAGCGAGGCATAACGAATGCCGCAAAATGATTGCATCGGTACACCGTTGCTGTAATTATGCTGATCTGCCGGCACGGTGTGTCTTGTAAAAAGGCTAGAATGAGAATTTCACCACACGAATGAAATAATGTAAATGTTTAATTTTTTGTGGTTCTTCATCACACACAGAGCAAATAGAGCTAGTTTTTACCTTGGCTGGCATGCCTCAGCGACTACTGCTGCCTTCATCAGAGCAACCGCTGATGTTGGTGGCATCGCTTCTGTTTGTCTGTGGGCAGCAGAGGACGATCTCGCCCTCTGCTGCCCACATGCTCTTCACTGATTTCTAAGTCCCATGGGGAATCGTACATCCTCAATAAAGAAATCTTTACGCTGATTTTGTAAATCGATTCAACTTCTGAAAAAGAAATAGTGCGATATTTCAGTGTAGTTATTTTCCTATTGTCCTACTTATATTAATTAAATATTGGTTATTGGATATATCAGCGATATTAATATGGAATAATGATATCGGGCTACATTTTCACATCGGTGCATCCCCGCTGTTATTTTATGTTTTTTCTTTTGTACATTTTATAGTTGTGCTGTAAAGCACCTTGGTTGGTTTTAAAGTACTATATAAATAAACTTCGGTATTATTTGGTGTGGTAAAGCTTTTGGTACTTCTGACTCAGCATTTTAAGGAAGTCAGGACCATCTTTTACGTCTGTCTTTGACCTCGTATTCGGCTCAAGTCTGAAACTTGTTTAATTATTACTGAGTGGGTTAATGTGAGTGATCACCCTCCAGACTCCTGACTGGTGCTCTTAAACTGGCTGAGATCTCCTCCCATGGGTGGGGGAGTCTGCCCTCCCCCCATTGGTCAGACATTGGCTGGTATCTGAAAACAGACTCAAACATTCCTGTCTCTGTTGTCTCTGCTGACAAGGACACCGAGGGCTGGACGTTCAACAGAGGAGAAAAGGTGGTGGAACACCGACACGTGATGGAATGTGACTCAAACAGAGTCGAGGTGATAACGGTGAAACGAGTCAGAGCTGGTTGACTTCTGCGCATAATGTTAACTTTGGGTTTTTAGAGGACAGGGAAATAAAATAATCCCTTCAGAGGTTTTCTTTCAGACCTACTCATGACGTTGTTTACATTAATGAAGTTTCCCAGCTGCCTCGCTGGCTCTCTGCATGCTCAGCTACTTACAGCACAAACACTAGATTACAGCAAGGACGCCGGACGGGACAGTAGCCCCGCCTCCCTTGTTATAATCTCTAAAGAATTCTGTGCAGCACAAGGTGTGTGCGTGCGTGCGTGCGTGCGTGCGTGTGTGTGTGTGTGTGTGTGTGTGTGTGTGTGTGTGTGTGTGTGTGTGTGTGTGTGTGTGTGTGTGTGTGTGGTGCAGGAGGAAGAGGAGGAAGGCCTCTACTCTTTGCTCATTCGGTCTTTATTTATCTTTTTATTTACCTGAAGTGTTTTTTAGGATTGCTGAAGCGAGGCGAGTAGAAATACGTTGGTAAGTAGTTATTTTATGTTTTAAATAGTTTATCTGGTTTAGAAAGGTGTCATTTAAAATTCTTCTTCAGTTGTTGATGCTGCCTGACTCTGTTTAAACCATAACAGATGTTTATACATTAGTGAGAGGTTTCAGCTCCAAAGCTGATTCTAAACTCATAAATTAATAGATCCTGTTTTATTCATAACCAAACCTTGAGATTATCTCTGAGTGTGTACAGGTGTGTGTGTACACACACACCTGTTTTATTCATCTGAACCTGACAGCAGCTGTCTGATTTAAGGTGTTTGGAATTAAAAACTAACACCAGCAGAATATTTCTGCTTCCTCCATGTTTCTGGAAACTTCATCTGCTGTCTGGCCGAAACACGGAGAGACAGATTAGATCTGTTCTGTTTTAATAATCCGTATGATTCCACGTCAACACAGGTAATGTAAGAACACAGAAGGATCGAGTCGACTGGATTAGCGAGTCTTTTTCAGGTTTGTGAAGCATTTGCTCATCTCTGTGGCGGGTGTAGGTGCAGCCAACTGGGGCAGATGTGTTTTGGGTTTCAAGGCTCTAAAACAGAGTCTGGCTCGTGTTTCCTGGAAGCAAACGCTGGTTTCTCCTCCCCTCTAGGATGGATATCTGTAACAGACCAGCTGTATTCCCTGAACAAAAGACCCTCGGCTCTTCACAAAAACACACATTTGCATTTTCATTGTGCAGCAGCTTGTTTGGAGGCGGCACAGCTCATAAAACAGAGACGGAGAGGTGGATTTTAAAGAGCAGTTGACTGCTTTTCTGGAGTATTTGGTTTTCTATTTATGTGTGTGAAGAAAAGCAGCACAGAAAGTTATAAAATGTGGTTTATTTGATCAGAATGGCACTTTTACAATAACATTTCAGTTTTATTGACTGAAAAACTCCTGTTGACCCTCCTGAAGCAGGTTTTTATATATAATTTACTGTAATTTACAAAAACAAGCTGAAAAGGAGTTGTAATGCCAAAGAAACAAAGACAAAGCCACTGCTGTCTTTCTGGTTTTCTACATATTTAGATGCTTTTTAAAATAACTTAACCTTTATGTTACCTTCAAATTTTCTAACATTTCTGGTGTTTAAACACAAAAAAAGCACATACAAAACTTCCTATAGAAATATTACATAATATTTCATATGTCCCATTTTTTACACGAATGTCATCCTTTGCTTCAGCCCTAACACAATATAATAAAAAATGTGTACCTTTCTGAGATTTAACCCCTTTTTTGCCAGGTTTATGATCAATACCAGAATTGTGAAAAAATGTAAAGAAAATTTAAAGATCTATTATTGTTTTGTGTTTTATGTTCAAATGACTGTTATTAGGGTTAAACTGTCACAGCCTTGGAGTGACACAAATGAGCATAAAACTGTTTTTTGTTCACTTTATAGTTTTTGTGTAATTTCATGTTTTCTAAAAAAAAAAGTCACGATTTTAACCTTAGTGTGCAAAGAAATGCAGACACAATACTTCCTCATATATCTTATAACTCCCAGTTTTTTTACATGAATTTTGTCCTTGGCTTCAGTCCTCACAAAATATAATAAAATATTTGTGTGTTTCTGAGATTTAAACTTTTTATCTCCCCTTTATTGTCAGGTGCCTGATCATAACCAGAAATGTAAACAAATGAAAAAATATAAACCTCTTTTGTGTATTATGTCCAGATGATTTGTTTTATGGGCAAATTTTCAACACATTGGAGTGTCATTCAATTCAATTCAAGTTTATTTAAAAAGTACCAAATCACGACAAGAGTCGTCTCGAGGCACTTCACATAATAAACATTCCAATTCAGGTCAGTTCATTAAGCCAATCAGAAATAATGTTTCCTATATAAGGAACCCAGCAAATTGCAGCAAGTCACTGACCAGTGTCAGTGACTTGCTGCAATCCTCATACCAAGCAAGCATAAGGCGACAGTGGAGAGGAAAACTCCCTTTTAACAGGAAGAAACCTCCAGAGAATCCTGGCTCAGTATAAGCAGCCATCCACCACGACTCACTGGGGATCGAGAAGACAGAGCAGACACACACACACACACACACACACGCACACGCGCACACACATATACACACACACACACACACGTCCCCCATGGGGACCAATAAAGTTTTCTGATTCTGACACACACACACACACACACACACAAGCACAAGCACACACACACACACAAATAAATTAATAAATAAATGGTCATAAAATTTTTTCATTTAATTACTATTATTATTGACCTCGCCGGTGGCGCAGTGGTTACAGCAGTTACCTTGCAGTGAGAAGGTCTTGGGTTTGCTTCCCAGCCTGGGATCTTTCTGCATGGAGTTTGCATGTTCTCCCTGTGCATGCGTGGGTTCTCTCCGGGTTCTCCGGCTTCCTCCCACAGTCCAAAAACATGACTGTTAGGTTGATTGGTCTGTCGAAATTGTAGGTGTGTGTGTGTGTGTGTGTGTGTGATTGTTTGTCCTGTGTGTCTCTGTGTTGCCCTGCGATGGACTGGCTCTCTGTCCAGGGTGTACCCCGCCTGATTGTCCATTGGCCACTGGAGATAGGCACCAGCCCCCACCTCCCTCCCCCATCCCCCCGCGACCCCACATGGACAAAGTGGATTCAATGGATAGATGGATATTATTATTATTTTTTAATGTAGCGTTGGGGTTTTCCCTGGTATACATAGGAGAAATTCACAGTCTAGTGGAAAACATTAAAAAAATCTCAATTAAGTCTGTAACTGCCCTGGGAATCCAGACAGAATAATAACTAACTAACTAAATATATATAGTTAGTTAGTTCGTTATTATTCTGTCTGGATTCCCAGGGCATTATATATACATAAGCTAATATTTAGGTTTACTAGAAAATAATTATTTACATGGGAGTCAATGGAGCAAAAAATGTACTAAGGACGGTAATGTTACTAAATTATTTTAGTGTTACATTAAATGAAGTAGGGGAATTTTAAAAATTATTTTTAGTCTTCCCCCCCAAAAATACACATTCTCCTAAAAAAAGATACATTGCAGTAGCATAGCCAAAATTATTCACAAAAATACACCTGTCTGCGCAAAAAAATGCACTTAGGACATTTAAGGGTTAAAAGGATCAAATTTTCCTCTCAAATACCTTGAAGGATTCTCAGCAACTAAAGAAACCTGAGCCGTCTCAGATATTGTTAGAAAGTTGTCTTTATTCCTTTGCAGCGACTGGGAGGCTCTCAGACTCCTGGGAGATGGCCAGTTTAGATGTCTGAGTGCAAGCGAGGGTCCAACAGGGAGGGAACATACCTCCCAGCATTCCTTCTGTTGAAGGAATGTGTCCGTTTGGTTCCCTGGCGCGGTCAAAGCAAAAGTAAAGGCAGGTCAACTTGCATCTGGTGGATTGGTGTATTTACTTTCGGTGTCACGTCTAATGGGTGAATTATAAATCTCTGAGCCTTCTAAACATTCTGATTAAATTCAGAATAAGAGGCAGAGCTCTTTTGACCTGATTCTGCTTTTAATTCTGCAGCTTTCTGATTTCTGATGCGAGTTTTCTATTCTTCTTGTCGATTGTTTATTTGATACCATCATCTCTTCCCCCTTTTTTTCTCTCTTTTCACTCGTCCCTCCACGCCCATCAGGGCTAAAATGGTTGATGTCGTTTCACCGCAAACAATGCCGTCAGAAAATGAGGTTCACGTAGCGAGGAGCTTTCTCACCAAGATTTTGCGAAGCTCCATGAGGTATCATTTAGTGTTCCAGCCTCACCCGACCCGACCCGGCTGTGTTTGCTAGTACCTGTTGGTGTCTCCTAGTAACTTTTGGTGTTTTCACGTGTTGTGCTAGTGTTTAAGTCACATGTTCTTTTGTTATTTGTACATTTGTGACATGTTTTTAGTTGAATTTTACTTAAAAATACCTTTAAATTAGGGATGGGCAATACAAACGATATAAGGTAGAAAGGATATAAAATTGGGTAATGGTAGAGTTTTTGGCTATATCGCAATACCGCAATATCGCGATAATACATGATGTCACTAAGATGTGCAACCTGCTGACATTGGGACAACAGAATGGCGGTGACTGCAAGCATGGAGTGGGCGGAGGAGGAGGCCTAAATGCCTCAAGTGTCATATATTTGCCACATGAGGATATTTAAAAGCATGTCATTTTCACATATATAAACAGAGGAAAAAATATATCGCAATATATATCGTTACCGCACATGCTTCAGATTACAGTAATCCCTCGCTACTTCGCGGTTCGTTCATCGCGGATTCGCTGCTTCGCGGATTTTTTCTTTGGAGCATTTTTCAGAGGGAATTCGCAGATTTGCGGTATTTTTCACTGATTCGCGGTATTTTTCTATGCGAAATATCAAGAAATTCTTGTTTTTTTTTCATCAATTTCATCATAAAATGCACTTTTTGTAATAAAACTAAAAAAACCAAGTAAAAAAAAATTTTCTTGAGTTTTACCCACAAAAAGAGAATGTGATCATACGATAATTCAATAGGGAGCGTGGTTTCACAGACGCGGAAGTGATAGCGTCGGTGAAACGCCGGCTGATCTAGGAAACCCCCGAGCGTTCGAGCGTCAACGAAGTGACACGGAAATGCCGGGCTTTCCAGAAGTAAGTAAGATAACTTACTATGAGCTGATAGTTCGTTGGATTGATCGGTAGGTTGGAAACTCTGATCATGAATCTGAAGAAACGATGACTGAGTGGTGAGCTGGAAAGGCGACTTCCGTTTATAGCCGCGGTTTGTGACGTAGGTGCGACGTGGAGGGAATCCCCGCGAGGGGCATGCTGGGAGTCCCTACTTCGCGGATTTTCACCTATCGCGGCCAGGTCTGGAACGCATCTACCGCGATAAACGAGGGATTACTGTATATTGCAATATAGATTAGAGGCCATATCGCCCAGCCCTACTTTAAATGTTGGATGGGTTGCTTTATTTTATGGTGGTGTCCTTTTCAATCAGCAAATCATTAAAGGCACACTTTGCAGTTCGGGCTTGCTTTTAGCACCCTTTTCTGTTAGTGACAGCAGAAGTGAAACTTATCTCCTCGCTGTGTGTTTGTCTTTTTAACACCTTAATTTAACTGCTGAAGTGTCTCCCCAGCCTTCATTAGTTTCTACAGGAGTGATTCATCACTGAATGATCTAAAACATGCAGTCCAACAGGGGCCGGACCGCCTCTCTGAAGTTGCAAGTGTGGTATTCTGGCCACAGAGGGCGGTGAGGGCCTGAATGACATTTCATTATCTCTGTAAAGGGTTAGCACATACTGGCTCAAGGAAACGGTTTTAATATATGAAAGTTGCAGAGTGTGCTTTTAAGACTCAGTCAGTCATGTGTTTGTCTCTAGTTTTTGTCAAAAAGGTACAAAATTGTTCTCTTTTGTTTTGAGTGTGTGATTTTCTCCTTTTTTTTCAACACGCTTTCCCAGGAAGAACCGCTTCAGAGGGTACGTTCAAGAGCCAAACTGTTGAAGTTATACAAAAATAAAATTCTTCCAGATTCAAGCACGTCTTCTTTCCCCACGCTGAATTATTGGACCTGAGAGAAGTGTGATTCCCTCCGGTCCCCTCTCGTCTGAACTCCACCAATTATCTTCTAGTGAAAATGCTCCGATGTCAAACGGCCTCTTGGTTGTGTAAAGTGTTCTGATGTGTCTCTGCCTCCCCAGAAAAAATGATCCAGGCTTTCGGCCTCATTCCTGGCACTCCTCCAAGCTGACAGAAGACGAGTCTGAGCCCGCCGGGTCTGAGGCCGCCCCAGCACCCGTGTGGCAGGATAAACATGAAGCCAGGTCAGCTTGTTGGGCTTTTCCCGCCTCTGTGTGAAACAAGTTATTTTTACTGAAACGACGTGTGATTCTGTTTAAATGTGAAGGCCTAAAGAGGCATCCGGTGATGGTGACCAGCGGGCTGAGCAGACCCCTCAGCTGAGCTCTGTGAGCAGTATGGAGAGATTGGAGCGTCCCCACCAGCCAGGTCATCTCTCCCCTCCTGACCCGCTCGGCGTATCGGGGGCTAAACGAGACGTGGGGTTCAGCTGCTTCTCCGGCAGCTCCAGCCCTCCTGGCCACGACTCCTGCGCGGCTGGTAGAAAAGGAGCCAACGCAGAAAACATTTTCTTCAAAGGCTTTCAGAGCGAAGGGTCTCAGCAGAGCGAGCGCCACAGATACCTGCAGTCATCTCTTGGGAACGGAGGCTGCGAGGGGTCGAGGGCCGAGGAGCAGCCTGCATCTCAGGTTTCTGTTGCAGGGAGGCCCGGTGTTGGCCCGCTGTGGCAGGTACCAGAGAAGAAAAGGTCCCAGTCTCCTCCTGCTCCTCCCCCACCTCTCCGCAGCGACAGCTTCGTCGCCACAAAGGTGTTCCCTTATTCCGACGGGCCTTTGGCTCCACCAAAGAGCCAGGCCAGGTCCTTTGAGAAACTGATGGAAAACAATCAGAACTTCCTCAGATTTCAGAACCACAACCAGCTACATCCCAACAAACTCTTCTCCTTGTCCAGCAGTGACATCAGCCAGTCCCATTACACCCAACCACCTGCACACCAGAGGCAGTACAGCGATGAAAGCCCTTTCTACCTGCAGACCCGGACCGCTCCTCCTTCAAAGACCCAAAGTGTTGGAAGCTACTACCGCAGCCTCCAGGATCTGCCCACCAACGCTTTCAGCCGCAAGCAGGTTCGCCACTCCACCGCTTTCATGGCAGGCTGTGCCGCAAACCCAAAACGGGAGGGCGGAGGACATACCAGATACTACAGCCTGGCAGGTAAACACCTGGTCCAGCCTGGTGAGCGCAAGACCAGGCAGAGCCGATCAGACAGCTGGAAGGGTGAGCTTGATAAACCACCCTGGATGAGCAGCAGTGACTCCAGCTTCTGTAGTTCACTCAAGACACACATTAAGGCAACGTGCTCCACTCCTCAGTTCCAGGTGTCTCACGGTGAGAAGAAGGATCGCAACGCCGGCTCCCGTCTTAGAAATGGTCTTCACTACAAGAACCAGACCTATGAAGTTTCTGTTCAGAGCCGCAGCCCAGGAGATCCTCTGAAGGGACCTCCTAACAATATGAAAAGACTCTATCAAACAAATCAGAACAATGAACATAAGGTCAGCGTTTCGAGACACCAGAACCCTTGGGTGCCTCAAGAAGATCATCGAATATCTGCCCTGAAAACTCCACTCCTCCACTGTTTGGCCCAGGAGAGTAGGAGTCTGGCTGAGAGGCAACCAACAGCTTCTTCAACTTCTTTGATGTCTTCCCCGGATGGCAGCAGCCCCTCGACTAGCAGCAGTGCGAAAGCAAACCGCCGCAGTGACCGTTACGCCACCACGCTTCGTAAGGAGGTCCAGCAGAAGAGAGCCCAGCTGCAGAAGAGCCGCAGCGCTGCAACCCTCACCTACGAGGCTGAAGATGACGACGCAGAAGAGTGGAGATCCACAGAGACCTCTGCCTCCTCAAATACCTACAAGGACCATTTAAAGGAGGCTCAAGCAAGGGTTCTCCAGGCCACGTCCTTCCAGAGACGTGACCTGGAGCCCCAAGGACCAGAGGCCGCAGTTCACAAACCATCTCATGGACGCGTTAGAGGACGTAGGCAGTTCCACCCAGCTAAGAGGATGCACTCCTTCTCTGAGCCTGATAAGATGGACAAAGTAGGAGTAGAGGGAGAATCCCAAACCAGCTCAGATCCAGAACGGAAGTTTTTTGAAACCAAACCAACATTCTTCAGGCCTGCGCCGGGGTCGGTTCATGGACCAAACCAGAGCGCCAGCCTCAATGAAACAAGTAAACCAGAGGAGACCCACCCACCATCAGACCCAAACCGGCTAAGTCCTGGAGATGAGCAGGTCTTAATGGAGCAGCAGAGACTGGGCACCTTTGCTGAGTACCAGGCCACATGGAACAAGCAGAAGAAGTCATCAGACACCAAAACACAAGGGAGATATCATTCAGCGGAGAACATCCTGGATGTGAGTGCTGAGGAGAAGGCTGCCTGTATCCATGAGAGATCCCGATCTTCACCTTCTGCTGATTTCTGCACACAGGTGAGCAACGTTACCTTCAGAAGCCTTTAGGCCGGCAGACAGAACTGTTTCCTGTTGCATCGCTGCTGTTTTAGACAGTAAACCGTGTTTTTGCACATTTCTCTTCCCTGCAGAAAACTCCCTCCCTTCACAAAGATCCACAAGAGCAGCGTGGCGGTTTGGCCTCCAGGTGAGATTTACTAAACGGAAAGCTTCGCAGATTTAGCTGAAGTTATTAGTTCACTGCTGCTGCTCTGTATCAGATCAGATCGTCACAAAATGACAGCTTTGCCTTCTGTGTTCTGTGTGGCTAAAGCTCGTGTTTAAATGAACAGGAACGGCTGAATTCCACCCAAAGTTACTAAAGTTTCTGCTCATGCTCACGGTGTATTGCTACAACCAGAGCTGCTGCAGATAAAAACCTGTGTTATATCCATTTCATGTATCTGATGTATTTGTTCTTTAAAAATAAATGCTGATTGATAGTTAAAAACTAGTTTTTTTCATCGAAAACACGTCGTCCCCTTCAGTTTGCCACCAAACATGAACATTTTAAACCAGTTTTAAGTGGGACTTGCATTTAGCACCCCCTAGTGTTCATTAGTGATACCAAAAGTGAAACTTGTCTGTTTGCTGCGCGTTCTATTTTTTTTAACAACTTTGTCTAACGGCTGACGTGTCTCCTCGGCCTTCATTAGTGTTTACAGGAGCGGCTCGTCACTAAAATACACAAATCAGCTTTGTTCACGATCAAAACATGCTGGAAGCAGACTGCGGCGCTAGCACGTCAGCTACAGGTAGCAGCCTGCCACTCTGAATTTGCAAGTGCGGTTTCCTGGCCACAGGGAGCGGTGGGGGTCTGAGACACATCCCATTAATCCTGTAAAGCAGGCGTGGGGAACCCTGGTCCTCGAGGACCGGTATCCTGCCTGTCTTGGCGCCAACACTTCTGATTCAGTGGTTGATTCGCCTGTTCAGCAGCTCATCGGGCTCTGCAGAAACCTGTTAATCACCCGCTGATTGAAATCAGTTGTGATGATTCAGGGTTGAAACTAAAATATGCTGGATAGCGACCCTCGATGGACCACGGTTCCCCACCCCTGCTGTAAAGGGTAGTTTTTAGTGGGGATGCACCGATCAGGTTTTTTGCTGCCGATCACCGATACCGATATCAAACAATGCTGATAACCGATACCGATTACGTGGATTGGCCAGAAATTTTCTACAACATTATAATGAGTGCTACAAACTACATAATCTGGGAATAAAGGAAATGTAACCTAATCTAAAATGGTCTGTATTAGGGTTGTCACGGTGTGAAAATTTAACCTCACGGTTATTGTGACCAAAATTACCACGGTTTTCGGTATTATCGCGGTACTTTTTTTAAACGTGCTACATTTTCACACAATTAAATAAACCCTGTATGTCAAGAAATATTGTCCTCAGTATGTGTCTAAATTTTGCCTAAGATGTGTTATTTTGTAATTATTTGTTTATTTGTTTACATTTTTTCCCTTTAGTCATTAAAATACCAATATTTGCCCATAACTTCTTATTTTTTGTCTGTTTGATGTCATCATTTTAAAAATATTAGACCAGATGATACTCAGTACTCAAGTAGCCTTCTAATCAGATACTTTTTTTTACCCTTACTTGAGTAATAAACCCTATATCAGGAAAATATTGTCCTCGGTTTGTGTCCTTCCAGTGAGCTTTGCAGATGTAGGAAAATGTCATCAGGCAGTAATCATTGTTAAATTCATAATTATTCTCGGAGAGAGACCAACTCTAATCTGCCCCTGGGAGCCCCGTAATGCATAGCGTCATTTCAACATGGGGGGGTCCGCGACACGGTTTATATGCAGGTAGCGGCGCTGCGGCTGCTTTATATAGCGACTCGTTGCATTCTCCCTCAACCCAAATCCTCGGATCACGCATTTTAGCTAAAACGCTAATGTTAGCTTGCCTTGCGTTGACTGTAGAGTGGTGGGTGATGGTCACGCGGATGTGTCATGAGATTTGAAGCGTTGCTGCCTTTCACAGACACTTTTTCTGCTCGTGCTGCAAACAGGATAGCCGTCTTCTATCAGCTGTCCCTCGGCATTCTTCAGATATCCAAAAAAATGCCCGTACTTCCCACTTTGTCTTCTTTGAGGGATAATAAATGTCCTCCTGAGCACTGCCGTCTTCTCCTTTGGCCATTATTTCAGCTTTAGCTTCAAGAAAGTTGTGGTTGTAAACAACAAAGTGCGCATGTGCCGCCGGCAACTTCAGCAGATGATACGGTGGCTGGTAAGGGTCACCGCGCCTACACCACAGCCACGGTAATCCACCGAGATAATATAGTTTTTAAAAAACAAGACGGTTATTATTATTGTCAACTTTTTTACCGGGGTTTACCGCTACACCGGTTACCGTGACAACCCTACCTGATCGGTCTGCTTTTATCTATTTTGAAAACTCCGATCAAAACCGATAGGGGCGCTATCGGCCGATTGGGATCAAATGCCGATCCATCGGTGCATCCCTAGTTTTTAGCACATATCGGCTCGAGAAAATGGTTTAAAAATATGAAAAAGTGATATAGTGTGACTTTAAAACTTTCTTGGGTGTGATTAGAAGTTTTAAAAGAAAAATGAACCTAATTCATGCTACATGAATGTCAGTGGGAAGATAAGTGCTGTTTCTGTGTCGGCTCACGTGTTATCCATCCACAGGGTTTGGTTTTCCCTCCCAGTCTCACATTTCCTGATCCCAGAAAAACTCTGATCTCTAAAACACTCCACACCTCCTAAACGTTGTGCATCAGACGCTCATTATTTCCTGTCAGCAGCATGACCCTGAATTAGCAGATTAAAATTCTTGTGTGGTTTTAGCAGCTCCGTAAGACTCTGGGCCCAAACTTTTCCCCGTCTGACTCTTTAGTTTCTTTTTGTCTTATTTTCAGTTTAAAACTGATTCCCAGTTTTCCCGTCAGGTTCTAATAGAACCTGACTGGAGTTTTGCATCTTTGTAAAGGAAGCGTGAGGATGTTTGTTTTTATGTTGAAGGAAGGAGGATATTTTAAATGAGTTTTTAATTCTGATCCTCAGAGAGAAGACGGAGAGCAGGTCGCCTGACCTCAGCCCACAGCCGGTCTCGTCAGTCCTCAGAAACGAGGGGACTGTCCCAGATCCTGACCACAGGACCAAACCCAACAGCATCAGTCCCTCGCACACCGCGCTCTCCTCTGGTCGGCGCAGCGTCAGCCCCAGCCCTGGCTCCAAGCAGCCAGCTCAGTCTCCACAAACCCAGAGCCTCCTGCCACCACCCAGGCCCCTTTTAGGTCCACAAACCACATCCTCCTCCCAGGAATTCCTTACTGGCGCCCAGTTGGACCCAGCAGCACTCCAGCCTATGTCCAGCTCTGGTTCTGACAGCCAGAAGCATCCAGCTGCCCACTCTTCCTCTGCTGGTCCCACCCTGACCAGTTCTCCTCTCAGCACAACGTCTGGACCAGACTCCAGTCAGAGGGTAGAAACCCTGGAGGAGAAGGAGCAGCTAGCAACTCCTTCCTCTACTCCTCCTCCTCCTCCTTCATCTTCATCCTCCCTCGCTCACCCTGAAACAGATCGAGCTCGCTCTCCTTCACCTCTGTTTGTGCCTCTCAGGCTGACCGACAAACCCCCGGCTGCGGTCGAGCAGGATGACTCACAGCTCAGGTAAGCAGCTTAGTCGGGGCTCTTCAGATCTCCTCGCTGCCTCCTGTTACATAAACGCTCCTGATGCGGGAGGAGAAACCTCCAGCTCCACGTAAACAAGGAGGCGAATCGACACAGTCCCAAAGTAGTGACGATGGCTTTTGTAGGTTATTAACCCAGAGAGAGTTTGTTTTAATCACCTCAGGAGCCTGGGATGGGCGGGACTGAAGGATGTAATTTTGTTAAAACCACATCTGAGCGTGTATTTTAACCATCTTCTCATTTATAACATTTAAACTTCTGCTGCTTTTCAAAGCGGCTTTTAACTCTTACGGTCTGAGAGGAAGAAAAATCCCTTCATTGCATCACATTCAGTCCGTCTGGGTTGACCGAGATGGATGCAGGTGAACGGTTTCAGGTTTTAAACAAAAACAGGATAAAAAGAAGCCTCATTAGCCCGTCACGACAAACAAACACGATCCGTGAGGAGGAAGAAGGGAAAAGTATTTATTGTTTTTATGCTGGTGTTTAATTACTAGATCAGAAACAGAGCTGCAGGCCCCAGCCGTGATGGATGTGAGCGATCTGAAGAAGGTTCCCGTCAGGATCGTCCACTCGGAGGCCAGATCAGAGCAGACCGGCATCGTCCCCGAAGCGCCGCCCCACATCTCCACCCTTCAGCCAGACCAGGAGAAGGGTCGTGGTCCAGACCGGAGTCAGGACTCCAAGTCGGCAGGTGACCATCACCTCCGGGAAGAGGCCAAGAGAGAAGAGCTGGCCAGGGACATCATGGGGAGAGATAAGTCCCTGGTGGACATCCTGGATCAGAGTGGAAGGAAGACCACCATGGACCTGATGGAGGGACTCTTTGCTCCAGAGGAGAAGATTCTGGTGGGAGCTCAGCAGAGGAGGAGGGCGTCAGCGGGCTCCAGGCTGCCCACCTCCAACAGGTGAAGCATTTCAGATAAAAAAGAGAAAGTCACTTCTGATTAAACTTTTTATTTATTTTATTTTTTTATATTATTTATAAGTTAAAGATGTAGCTGAACTGGTGGGGCCTCCGCCTCACACGCCGGGGAACCTGGTTCCAATTCAGGCATGGGACATGCGAGATTCCGACTCAGATGGTACACATGTTAAGCTGCACTGTGGCGCAGTTGTTAGCACAGTTGCCTCGCAGCAAGAAGGTTGCAGGTTCGAAACCCGGCTGCAGTCTTTCTATGTGGAGTTGCATGTTCTCCCCATGCATGTGTGGGTTTCCTCCGGGTACTCCAGTGTCCCCCCACAGATCACAACACGCCCTACAGGCTAACAGTTAAATAAATAAACATACGTTAACGCATTTGAGCCTAAAACCAGGGCTGTTCTTTAATTTACTCATTTTCAATCAGTTTTATGAAGATCTGCGAATTGATTCCAATAGTTTCCCACCAGGAGAATTCCCAAGTTTTCCCTCAACCTCTTGGGTTAAATCACAATAACAGTAGTCTGCCCCCTGCTGGACAAATTCTATACATGTCTACTTAGTTGTCCACAACTATAACAGTGTGTGTGTGTGTGTGTGTGTGTGTGTGTGTGTGTGTGTGTGTGTGTGTGTGTGTGTGTGTGTGTGTGTGTGTGTGTGTGTGTGTGTGTGTGTGTGTGTGTGTGTGTGTGTGTGTGTGTGTGTGTGTGTGTGTGTGTGTGTGTGTGTGTGTGTGTCAGGAGGGAGGAAGAGGAGGTGTCAGCGTCAGCCTCTCTAGTCCCCAGCTCCTCCTACTACAGTACCTCAGCTCCCAAAGCTGAGCTCCTCATCAAGATGAAGGACATGCAGGAGGAGCTAGAGGAGCAGGACTCTGAGGACGAGCTGGACGTCGACCTGGCCAGTAAAAAGGTAGACGTTTTAACCTCTGAGGATGAAGCTGGATTATTAGAAAAGCAGTGGATATGTTTATCTGTTGTTGTTTGTTTTTTTGTCCTCTTCAGCAAGAGCTCATTTCCAGCCTGGCTGGGAAGCTAGAGGTGCTACGGGAGGCACGGCAGAGCTTGCAGGAGGACGTGGAGGACAACGAGGCTCTGGGTGGAGAGGTGGAGGCCACCGTGCAGCGCCTCTGTCAGCCCAACCAGCTGGAGAAGTTCCGCATGTTTGTGGGGGACCTGGATAAGGTGGTGAGCCTGCTGCTGTCGCTGTCGGGGCGACTCGCCCGGGTGGAGAATGCCCTCAACAGCCTGGAGGATGAGGCTCCGCCTGAGGAGAAGGTAACCGACTCTAGCACTTTAGAAGTGATCCTTTTGGCCAAACACGCTAACCCAACATTAACGATCTCCATCCTCCACCAGCGTACCTTAACGGAGAAACGAAAGCTGCTGATGAGGCAGCACGACGACGCCAAGGAGCTGAAGGAGAACCTGGACCGTCGGGAGAGGCTGGTGTCCAGCGTCATGGAGTCCCACCTGGACCCGGAGAGCCTGGACGACTACAAACACTTTGTTAAGATGAAGTCGGCTCTCATCATCGAGCAGCGGAAGCTGGAGGATAAGATCAAACTGGGTGAGGAGCAGCTGAAGTGCTTGGTAGAGAGTCTGCCGCTGGAGCAGAGACCTCTGCTGTGAGATCCAGACTGGGACAGCAGGAAGACCAACGGGAATTCTCACATCTCAAATGGAGATTTGTAACATTTTTAATATTATTCATGACTTTTTGAGTCTAGATCTCAGATAGTTTTGCTGACAGAACCCAAAAATGAGCTGGATTTCTGAACATGGACCTAAAAAGCAGGTTTCTTTCTGTGAGAACATTGTTTGCTTCTTAATCGGATCGATTGTGAGGGACGCTTGTACAGATTTTAAAACTAAGAGAACAAAGTTTTTTACTGCTGATCTGCTGGTTCCTGTGGAATGATCGGACTCCTAATAAAGATGGGGTTAACAAACCAAACCTCTGTTAGATTAACTCGGATTAAATCACGTTTCTGCAGGTTTTCATCTCTATAGTGTCATTATTTATGTTGTTTCTTGAGCTTTTCTCTCCTGTCGGACTTAATTATCACCTGCTGGTTTTAATATCTTCTAGTAATTTATTGTAGCGTTTCTGAAGGAATAAAGACTAAAGAGGGGTTTTAATTTTATTCCCTCGATTTGTTTTAAAGCGTTTTATGTACATATATATATATTAATCTCATCAATCCTTGTTGTGTTTACTTTACCTGTAACTTCTGCGTATACTTCAGGCTGAAACAAACATGTGAATTTAAACCCTAACTGGACTTCAGACGCTAACACTGCTGGATTATTATTCCTGCTCTCATCTGCAGTTTGAATCCGAAACTCCTGTTGTATCGTTAGCACTTTGTTATTCTTTTTGTCACGTTTTGCTCTCCGTACTTCTGGAGATGTGCCTCCTGGAGCTTCTCACTGGGACCTTCATGTCTCGACGCTCAGCGTCTTTACGGCATTAAAGTGAAACTGAATCATGTAGAAAAGTAGATCTTGTTTTCATTTTTTAATCTCTTCACTTGTGTCAGGATTAGTGACATTCAGCCTGTTGGATTAAAACGGATCATTTTAACGCATTTAAACGACTGAATCAGCAGGGAGACGCTGGAGAGGCTTCAGGGGTAAAAACGGTCGCATCAATTATAATAATAAAGCATTAATTATAGCAGAATTCAGATATTTTATGCAACGTTGGACTTTTGTTTGACTTCCAGAGTCCCATTCCAGTATCAGGTATTCTAATTTAATCTGATGGATTATTTCACTGGGAAATCCTGATCATGTTTGTTTTTAAGAGTCCAGGATATTTTACCCTCCCACCATTTGTCCACATATGAGGGCATTTTATTCTCTTTAATTTAGATCTTTTTGTTATTTAGAGACACGTCTTAAAGTTTATTTGTCTTTTGTTTGTTTTCCTTCTTTTTTAAGAAATTTGACATATTTATTTAAATGTATTTTTATTTAATTTTTTTTCTCTCCCCATTTATGAGGGTCGACTAATCTGTAATAGCTAGATATGTTTTTGTCTTTAAAATTACACCAAATGCAAATCTGGGTCTTAGGAGGTGTAAATGTAACTTTTTTTAAAGAGCAAGTCACCCCCTACCAGAGTATTACTTCACTCCCACTTCCTGTTTGACAAATGCTGTTGCCTAACAGACCGAGAGGGCAGAGCCGCTAACAAATACACGCAGGCTCACAACGACATTGTGACATCATATGGTACCAGCTAACGTTCTAGGGTACCTCTTAGCCAATAGCGGTGGCAGATTTAAATTCAACTGCAGTGCAGAGTTTTTACCTGACAACGCCACAACACTGACAGTTTTAGGCAGAAAATTTAAATTTTAACTAAAATGCACTTACGTGCAAAACTATTGACTACACGTGTCTGCAGCACGATTAGACACTCATTTATATAGTTTATCAGGAAAAAAAAAGGTTGATTTGGGGGTGACTTGCTCTTAAAGGGTCAGACCAAGTTACTGTTTTCCTGTTAAAGAACAGCGCGTATACATGATGTCACTTTTAGAGGTCTGGATTTCTATTTTTAAGAGACTTTTATAGCTCAGGGGGAGGATTTTAGTTTATTGTTAAATGTAGGTAGAAATATGGAAAAGGGATTTTTTTTGTGTGGTTTATAATTAATTTCACTAAACTGTAATTTTGTCAGAAACCAGATTTAATTTTTTCTGATTCACGAGAACTGATTCAGCAGATTAATTAGAATGAAAAACACAAACTTTGTTATAATCATTTCCTTGCTTTACAGACTTCATGTTACATTTGTTCCTGAGGAGATCCCTCAGCACCACATCCCGTCTCCATCCCAGGTTCTGTCCTGTCAATCATTAACAGGGAAACTTTATTTACGTGCGTGCAGGATGAGGAAGTGTTGGGCCGTTTGGATGAATTAAAAAGCTTCCTGTTCTACATTTTGACTCTGTGCTGACAGCGAGCTGCGAACAGGACCTTCAGGTACGTGGCCAGACAGACTTAAACCTGCTTTTGTGTTTTATTGTTTCAGGCAGATCATAAAGCAGCGTAATGAGCTCTGAAGGCACTCGGTCTGAGGAGCCTTTCTGAGGGATGTCAGCTTTTCCTTTTACTGTGTAGCTTGTTCTAAACGTGTTTTAGGGTTGCTGCTTCAATAGCTGAGGGGTGTAACCTGTGTTGCTGACAGAAACCTGACAAAAACTATATAATATACATAATTTAACCAGTACAGGTGCTTTATTTCTCACAGATGTAATGTTTTTGTATAACTTTAGATTTAAAAAAATAATTTTTGTTCCTGTTTCTGATGCTTTTATGAAGCTGTTCTGCTTTTATCCTCCTGCGGTTTTGTGGTACGTTTGCTTTATATCACTTTTTTCTCTGTCATTTTATTATTTTTCATGTTATTTTTTACCCTTTTGTAGAAACTCAGATAATCTATGGATGTTATAACTATTGATCTTTATGATGCATGGTTGTTAGTGTGGAAGCCCATTCCTGCCACTTTGATTAAAAAATTATAACTTCTATCTCACAAATAATATTGCATATTTGTGAGATTGCCAAATCATAACTAAGAGAAATCTGTTTTGTTTCTTTAATCAGAGTGGCAGGAATGGGCTTCCATACATTAACCAAGAAATCTAGACAAAGCCGGATGATTTTGCTCTGCATGTACACATATCAATCAATCAATCAATCAATCAATCAATACTTTATTAATCCCAGAGGGAAATTAGAGTTTCAGTACACACAATTCAGAGATCAGACATACATGGGCAAGACACGTGACAAGAATTGGTGACTGTGGTCATTCGCAACCCTGAGTCGCGCTACCTTAATAGAGATAAGAGGGTTACATGAGGATTGGTTCAGGTGGAGGGAAACAAGGCACTTCAGAGCTACCCTCCACTGGGAGGGTAGCTTTGCCCTGCAAAAAAAAAACACCTCAACAGATATGCAACAGACTTCAGACAACACAACATGAGACTCCAATAGGAAGGTGCGGGGGGGGGGGGGGGGGAGTACATTGACTCCTACAGTTGATGATAGAGCCCTGCATGGGCCTAAAATCTGAGCCCGTGTCTGGCCCGGCCCGAGGGGGTGGAGCCCCAGCCCGACCCGGTCCGAAAAGGTTTTCAGGATTCTCTGGCCCGACCCGGGACCGACTTTTTTTAACCAACTAAATGAAAACAAAGTGTGTCAATCCTGACTAATGTGTTAAAAGACGTGCAGGATCTGATCAATTAGTTTTTCCCTCATTTATCATCACGGAGATAACGGCACACTGGCTCTGGTGTTAATCAAGTTAAATTTTATCTCTTTCCAACAATTTTCACAAGAAGACAGAACAGTTAAAAGCAGGGCTTGTGTTGTGTTGACCGGACAGTTCCCGTATTTGACCGTTTATTTTGACGGAGAAAGAATGGAAAGAATTACCCCGACGCATGCAGACGAACTGACATTTTATTCTACGCACATCGCAGATGTAGCTAAATCACCCAAGAAAAGATTCCCATCTGAACATCTGAGCTGGACACTGCTCAACGCAGCTCGCTGTCAGCGCGTATGTAAGGTGCACAGCGAGCTGAAGTTGTGGAGATTGGCTTGGAGCGCGTCGCAGAACCGGAGCGCATGCGGGAAGGTTCCTCCCACTGAAGCGAGTGTTTTCCAAACCCTGTCTCTCAGAGAGACTTGTCACTTAGAAAATGTTCCCTGATTATGAAACTTTGGCTGAATAGTGCTTGTTCCTGTCTCCAATGTGGCGACACATCCAGGAGCCTGTCTGAGGAGAAGCCCAGAATCTCACATCCTCTTCAGCTCAGAAAGCGCATATGAATACGCACAAGCGTGACCCGTCAACCCGATCTCACAGTAATGCACTCGACACACGGGAGGCGACAAACGACCGCGATCAGCAAAATTTGTCGCCGTCGCTTTTATTACCTGACACACGGGAGGCGATTCGCGGCAGCGGCCAGCGGCAAAGCCGTCTACGTGTTCTGTTCCATGGCGAAATAGAAACTTCCGTTGTTTTGTTTGGCTGTGTCAGGTTGGAGGGAATTAAGGTTATTTATGCGGTTCAGAGTTGAAAAAGTGGTAGATATGATGTTTCACAAGGTGCTGCTAGAGTTATGTGAAATCTTACTTCTGATTTTACTATATAAAACATAATAATAATCAACTTCTCCTTCATGTTTGCTCGGAGATGTACGGAGCATCCTGTCCGCTCATTGGTCAGTGAATGAAACCTCCGTTGATTGGTCCTCGTCCGAGCGACAGCGATGAAAAGTTGAAAATGTTTCAACTTTCTGGGATCGCGTCGCTGGTTCGCCAGCATCTGCCTGCATTCCTTCGTGGGGGGTTTTAGTTGCTTGCCGCTCAAGGCTACCAGGGCGTCAGATTCGGATAACAAGAAGTTGTTTGGGTCAGGCTGAGATAATTTTCCTCTCTGCCTTCAGTCTTTAAACTGATCATTCCAGTGAAGCCAATTTTGGGTTTTTAAACCTGTCCATACCGTCTGGTGACCCTCTCCGAGATGACATCCATTTTGCGCACTAATACCAGTATCGCAGCTAGAACATTGTCCAGCTTACGATTCACCTCGAGTAACGTCCCAGTCTGTGAGGTCTCCACACGGACGGTGCTTTCCGTGGGTGCGGGTCGCCCTCCAATCGCTCCCGTCTTCCCAAATTTCCAGAAAACCAGATATCCTCCCACTCCAGTCAGGAGAAATCCAGTGATCATCAGGCCGAATATCCACACGTCTTCGATATCTGAATGGACAGCTGGGAGAGGCATACGATCTTCCACTCCTTACGGGAATCCAAAATATACCCCACCGGGTGTGTCCCCTGTGGACATGTGGGAGCCCCCTGCTCCGTTCTCATTGTTGAAAAAATCTTATCGATCGTGTTGAATGATCAATTTATCAAATCCATGGTTAGTAAAAATAGTTTTTCAGAAGAAATGCAGAGAAGTGCTCTGTGGGCAGACAAGACAAAGAGCCTTGGGAAAAAAAGATAAGGGAGCGAAAAGAGAAGCGTCTGTACTCCTCGAGTGCCTTGAAGAGATAGACAGGATTGCTTACCGGGCCAGGTTTTGGTGGTAATATGTTGGTGATCTAAGGCACTTCTTGTTTTTTGATTTTGATGTTTGATCGTCATGTGGTTGTATGTGTGTGTTTGTAGTCATGGTGGCTTCAGTGTAATGTTTTTGTGTTTTTGTTGCCAGTCATTCTGTATTTCAGCGCGTTGTGTGTGTTTTATTCACGATTTTATGTTTTTCTGCCGTTTTTGGTCACTTTGTGGCTTAATGTGTGTGGGATGTTTTTTTCTGTCTCTCCAATAATGTCATCCAGGTGTGGCCTATCATTTTTGTACAAGCTGTAATTTCTTCATTTACAGTGTCTGGATTTATTTTAAAACTCAGCGAGGACATAGAGAACCTTGTTTTGAGTTTAGGCAGCACTGTTGCATCTTCTAAACTCACCTTCACTTTGATCATCAGCCTTTGGGATTCAGAGCATCGGAGACCGAGGATCGTCTCATCCTGTTTGAACCCGTCTGGTGTGAACACAGAGCTGCAGCGTCAGACTTGAAATGTTCCAGACATCCATCTTTTAATGAATGATGCTGACTCAGTGAAGAGGCTTTTGTTTGCTGCTGCTAATCAACGTGTTTATTCCCTCCCTGAGGACAGGGCTTGTTATCCAGGTAACCTTGGTGACCAGAGGAGGAGGAGGAGGAGAGACGGTAAACACCAGGTAGAAGCAGCCACATTCAAAGTGACAACCTGATTAGTGGCTCTAATGTCTTGATGCGAACGTTTCAGGTCTAACTCGGAGGTCTGGGACTCCCCTGAGATGACCTATCTGGCTCACACCGCCCACTCCCAGTTTTGCGCCCTCTGGATGGCCTTCACTGGCTGGACGCTCACCGCCATGGCTCTGGGACTCATCCAGTGGAGGGTGTGGCTGGTTTCTGGCACGGGGGTCATCACCTCTGGTGTGGCCTGGGTGGGGATCTGGAGAGCTTGCTTTAACAGCTACACAGATGTAAGTGAGGGCTTGAGGAACATGCACTGCAGCTACATCAGCCTGCAGGAGGTCTTCACCCCGCCGGAGATCGCAGCAGGTCAGGTTCTCATGCTCCTGTCTCTGCTGGTGGGGCTCTGTGGGAGCGCTGGAGGGGTGTACGCCATGAGGAAGGCCTACTTTGGATTGGAGAACTCGATCCGATTGTGCTTCATCAGCACCGGGGTGCTGTGCCTGCTGGCAGCTGTGCTAGCCCTTGTTCCTCTCCTCTGGAATCTGAGCTCAGTTGTGACAAACCAGACCATCGCGTTTCCACCCGAGTTCGAGTTTCCTCGGGCACCAGAGTCCCAGCAGGTGGGAGGAGGCATCGGCGTGGGGATTGTGGGCTCTGTCCTCATGATTGTGTCTGGGATTGTGTTCTGTTCGTACAAACTGCCAGAGAGAACAATACCCATGATGCTTCACTCTGTGCTGGAGCAGCTGCATCAGAGCACTTCCTCAGCATCAGGACCAAACGACCACAAGGCTGTGATCCCCAGTGGCAAAGACAACCCAGCGTTTGACATGGCTGAATACTTCTGATTTATTCTGAGACCCCACATGACTCATCTTTATTTTGAATGACTTTTGTACAAAACTAAGATCACAGGTTCATGCATTTTGTATGTTTTTCTTTCCAATTCAGCAGTAGAAATATTTTTAAGAACAAGCACACAATAAAACACACACACGAGCATTTTCCGTTAAATATTTTATTCAAATAAAAAAATCACATCTCCCATCATTTCAAACCATCTGCATCAAGGTTCCTCCACCCAATCACAGCCCTCCCGGTTCAGGTGGAGACGAGTTCACCTGAGCTGCTCATTATTCAAACACCGACAAGTTTAATCCAAAGGTTCTGAACTTTTTTATTGCATGCATCTCTGGAAGGAAACAACTCATTTATTAAAGTGTATGTCTATAATTTAAGCAGATGTAACTCCACATTGTTACAGATGGTGGAGAAAACCCTCGTGTGGCAGTAGAGACGGCTGGTCTCAGGTCAGTTCATGCTGTCAAACATCGGATCACATCCTTATCCAGCTTTACGAAGCAGTTCGGGTTGTTTTTATCGGGTTCAGATTTCATCACAAGACATGTACGCTTCCAAAGAAGCACCAAAATCATCGCTTAAAAACATTTGAACTGCTGGACAGAATCAGCAGAAAGTTTTCATCTATATATACTTTATTCCATTCAAACACATTAATGCTGAACACAAAATATACAAGACAAGCACGACTAAAATAAAAAAGTCATAAAATATCAGCAGAGAAGTTTTAGTTTGGATGAGATGTAGAAAACTGATTTAATCCACAGAAACCCAGATTATGGTCCAGTAATCCCAGCCTGAGCAGAGACAGGGCTGTTGAACCACCCCAGTAAAAGTAGAAAATGAAACTCATTTTAAGATTTACTGAAAAGCTTCCTGGGATCCTTTTGGATCACAGAAAAAGTGTTTTTAGAAAATCCAAATTTAGAATCAAAAGGTTTTTTTATTTAAATGAAAACATCATTTTACATTGGTAGTTAAATATAAAAGACACATTCTGGTTTCTGACCATTTAGTAAAAGAGCTGTTGTCATGGCAACCTCTGAAGCCCTGAAGTTGCAAAGAAATTATAAAATCTTTTAGAAGCAGACACGTGTTTCACTGCCTGGACCGTTTCAAACACTTTAAAAGTTACTTCTATATAAAAAAAATAAAACCACTCACATCTTAGTTTAAAGAGCTAAAGTCAAGCAACACTAGAAATTCTGTCTCCTGCTTCGTTTGAACTAAATCTGGATATTGTCCATTTATTTCTCGTTGAGGACATTTCCCAAACAGGAGCAGAGCTGAAAGTCTTAAACGGTGTGAAATATCCGGGCTTCAGGACAACAACGTTGTTGGTTTTTATAACTCATACAGCCACTTAAAAATCAGTACGTGTTTTTAACATTTGCTTTTATGACGTTTATTTCTGAACCCTTTGACAAGTGATTAAAAAAAACAAAAGCAGCAACACAGAGGCATGATTTGTGGGAATCCGATATGACGCAGAATGCTAAAGCTCGGGCTGACAACGAGAACGTCCTCCATCTGCAGAACCAGGGACCTGCTGTCTGTGCACCTCCCTGTCTCACACCTGGAAGCCCAGTGAGTCCATTATGATCCAGATGGTTTGAAAACAAACAACAATACATACATACAAAAAACAAAACAAAAAAAATCAAAATAATAATAAACTGAGAGGTTTAATCGTTCCAAAATCCCCCGGTCTGTTCTTGATACACCTCGATGACGTCTTCATCTTCCATCCCAAGCTGCCAGCGACACACAGCAGAGAAATCAGCAAACCAGAAACGTTAGTAACTCCTACAGTCCCACATCTGTGATATAGTGAAAAGCTGCTGATCTAATCATCTTGTTAGGACTCCGGAGACAAACCGTGTCTATAAAATACACGACAGCAGCCCAGATAAACGAGTCAGTGAAAGGTTCAGAGCGTAAACAAAACAGATCGGTGAGAATAAAAACACTAAGAACAGTTTCAGCATCAACATGACAGAATAATAAGGCCACGGCGGCCATGTTTACCTCTTTTGGAGTCTGGTTGTCTGCGATTCTCTGTCCCTCAAACAGAAACCTTAGTGTGCTCGCTGGGACGCCCTGTGAGAGAAGCACCAGAGGACACATGAAGACGTTTGGGTTCGTCGAGTTTCTCTTTGTTTGGTTTAGAGTAAAGAATCGAGCAGCAATAGGAGCTACAGCTGATCGTACCTGTCTCTGGCTGTACGACTCTTTGAGTTTCTTTAGATGTGTGGTCATTTTCACCTTAAAGTGGATTTCACTGCTGTCCTGTTGCACAAACAAAAGGGTGAGGCAGCAATGAGAATCTGTTCATTTACTGCTTGTTACATGTTTGTCAGATTAAAGCATTTTCAAGGTGAGTTGTTGAGATGTTGCATGAACTGTCTCTATGATCAAATTACAACATGATCAGACTCAAGCCTGTTAGAAACCTCTAAAATATGTTGAAATTCAAGCATTTAGAAGGATTACAATCACACATATGACGTCTGATGTATACAGGGAAACGTGTTGCATTAAAAAAAATCACACACCCTATACAACAAGGCCAAAAGGATTTCTGGATCTTCCACAATGGCTCAAAGAACTTTGGCTCATAATATAAAATAATGTGTTTTCCAAATCTATTTAACTTTAAAAAAAAAACAAATGCAGGTTTAGGCAGCATTTCAGTTTTTTAAGGAATAATTGCATTGAATATCCACAACAGTACTTATTTTTACATCTATTTGTGTTTTTTACATCATTTTTAACAAATATCAACATCCAAAGAAAAAATAGTGATACTGTGTACGCACACGTTTGTTTTCTAAATTTTATAACTTAAAGAGCAAGTCACCCCCTACAAGAAACTTACTTCACTCCCTCTTCATGTTTGAAAAATGCAACAAATGCTGTTGCCTGGCAGACCGAGAGGGCGGAGCCACAAACAAATACACACACACAGGCTCACAACGGCATTGTGACATCATAAGGACCAGTTTACATCATAGCATACCTCTTAGCCAATAGCGATGGCAGATTTAGATTCTAATGCAGTGCAGGGTTTTTACCTGACAACGGCACAACACTGACAGTTTTAGGCAGAAAATTACAATTTGAACTAAAATGCACTAAAGTACAAAACTATTGACTACACGTGTCTGCAGCATGATTAGACACACTATATAGTTTATCAGAAAAAAAAGTTGATTTGGGGGTGACTTGCTCTTTAATAGCAGAATCTCTTCAAAAAATATTTACAGAATATGACAAAATATATTTCTGATTATAATCTCAGGGGGAATGTCTGAATCCTGATTTTAATCTCAGAGTTTTGTCTCTTTTTTTTTCTCAGAATTCTGAGGGGAAAAACTGGGTTTTCAGTGGCCCAATTCTCTAAAAGAAAAAGAGACATTCAACAAGTTTTTTGTAGTTCATTGTACCAGTTTTTACTGCCTTAGTTTTAGTCTCCTTACACCTACTTAGTCATTCCTGACTGACCACATTATTTCTCTTCTCAATGTTTCATTGATATTATGGTAATTTTCCAGCTTTAGTCTTCAATGTTTTCTTTTTATGTAACCCTAATGTTCATTTGTGTTTTTGTTTTGTCTCTTTATTTATCTTTGGTGTGTTCTTGCTGTGTTTAGTTTCAGATTCCATCTTTCAGTTCTTTTTAAAACACAGAAAAGGTTTAATTACCTGCAACGTTTCGTTTGTGGCTGCAAACATCATCAGAGCTGACGCCGATGGTGGCGTCACTTCCTTCGTTTATCCGCAGGCAGCAGAGGACGTTGTCGCCCTCGTCCTCTGCTGCCCGCTCTCCCCTCTCCGATGATGCAGTCCCATGCGCGATCCAACGAGTAAACTCCATCAACTCTAGTCTGTTCATGGACCCACATCCATGTCTCCTTATCTCTATAGCGTCTTTTATCCATCTTTTGTTTTTCTGTTGTTTGGTGTTTATGATCCTTGTGTTGTCCCAGTCCATTATGTGGGATAACACAAGGATCATAAACACCAAACAGAAAAACAAAAGATGGATAAAAGAAGCTATCGAGATAAGGATGTGGGACCATGAACAGAGACGATGGAGTTTACTCATTGGCTCGCGCATGGGACTGCATCATCAGAGAGGGGAGAGCGGGCAGCAGAGGGCGACGATGTCTTCTGCTGCCCGCTAAACGAACGAAGTGACGCCACCATCGGCGTCAGCCTGACGATGTTTGCAGCCGCAAACGAAACTTTGAAGGTAATTAAACCTTTTCTGTGTTGTAAAAAGAAGTGAAAGATGGAAATTGTCTCTTTATTATAAAGCACATTGAGTTGCCTCTGTGGAGGAAATGTGCTATAAAAATAATGCTGTCTTGTCTAATAAAATTACTTTTTACAGAAGGATTCTGCAACAGCTGTAGTTGTAAATAAGTGTTATTTATTGGGGGGGGGGGGGGGGGGGGGGGGTTAAGGTTGCAGACCCCTGGCCTAGGCTAAGGTAAGCTGCATGCTTCTCTAGCAGCATTTGCGTTGTTTTACAAAAAGTCTAATGATGTAAAATAGTTTGAGAAAATGCATAAACAGTAAGAATTGCAGCAGTTAATACCAATCTGGACATAACTACAGCCAGTAAATTCAAACTAAATTACAAAATGAATTTAAAACCATTTAAAAAAAATGGTTACATGGAGGGCCGTTATATAAAAAGAGTTAGTGAATCAGTAAATAAGCAGGAATAACCAGACTAAAGCCATCTCACTAGCTGTAATGATATTAAAACCTACCTGACCAATCACTTTTAACTTTATATACTCGCCATCCTTCTTATCGCCGCCGTCTTGACTGGATGGTTTTGTCTCCTTAAAAATAAACAAACAACATAAACAGCACAATACAGACACGCACCCACGTTCAAACAGGCCTGAGTGTTCACTTCGAAGGTTTGTTTAACAAAATCGCTCATCTTTTTGAACGACTTGACTATAAAATATAATAACACGCAGTTTCTGTTGGACATTTTAAAAAATAACAGCAAAATTTTTATCTAAAAGGTCAAAAAAGAGCTGTGTTTTGTGTCCCTGAAGCTACGTTAGCTGGCTAGTAGCATGTTAGATAACCAAACGAGCCTAAAAAAACAATCAATTTGTGCGTCTTCTGAACAGTTCCGACAGAAGATTTGTTGTTTTCCACAAACACTGGGGTCTTACCGTGTCTGACATTTTCTTATTTTCTGTGTTTTGGCTCAAATTTCCTGACAATAGATGTACCTTCAGCTTTCCGCTGCAGCTCTCGTTAGATGTTATGGGAATTCGACATTAGCCGGAAGTGACGAAAAGACGTTTTTTCACAATAAAACTCCCTTCAGATTAGAGAAACAATAGTATCTTTTATATTTTTATGCTGTTGTTGCGCTTCTAATGAAAGCAGTGAACAACAAATATTTTTAAATAATATTTAGATCAAATGTTTAAACTATCAGAAGTAGCAATCATTGTCTAAAAGTAATTATAATCATTTGCTCATGTAAATTCAAACAAATTGCAATGAATAAAAAAGTCTAATAATCATTATTACTGCATTTATCTGAAAAATCATACAATGAGGCGCACGTTAATATGTTGATCCCATCGCAAGACACAGTTTTAGTGTTATTGATCTGAAGTGAGCGGTGTGTTTAAAATGTGATCAAATTAATTCCATCTTTTAGTTCTTTTTAAAACACAGAAAGATTTTATTTACCTGCAACGTTTCGTTTGCGGCTGCAAAACCCAGGTAAATAAAACCTTTCTGTGTTTAAAAAAACTAAAAGATGGAATTAGAATTTCAACACAGCAAGAACACACCAAAGATAATCAAACGAATTGTTCTTCTTGCAGCAGAATTTTGCTGTTTGGGAATATAAAGTGGTAAAATTATGCGTTGAATGCACATTTACACATAGTGTTTAATGAAACAATTTAAATTTTATCATAACATGACTGGATTTGACTGCAAATAACTGAACTAAATTGGAATTAATAGGGGTCAAGTTAATCACTACTGAATGAACTTGGACCAGCATGTAATCAATTCAATTCAATTCAAAAATACTTTATTAATCCCAGAGGGAAATTGATTGCTGTAGTAGATCAGAATAATAATAATAATAAAGCCATCAAAGATTTGTTGTATATTACAATGGCTGTTGGCAGGACGGATCTCCAGTAGCGGTCAGTGTTGCAGCGAAACTGAAGAAGCCTCTGACTGAAGACACTCTTCCGTTGTCGGACAGTCTTGTGAAGAGAACGCTCAGGGTTGTCCATAATTTTCTTGATTCTCTGGAGAATCCTTCTTTGCATTATCTCCTCCAGCGGTTCCCGAACAGCCGAAACTCTGGCTGAGTCCTTGAAAGGGCTTGGAGTTCCTCCATCTTGTTGACCAGTGATCTCACATTGCCCATTATGATCGATGGAAGAGATGGTTTGAATTTCCTCTCTCTCTGTGTCTCCGTTTTGCTCACGCTCTGCACCCACGCTTCTTGCATTTTAGCTCATTTGGGATTTGTGGCTTCAGTTGAGGTATTATTTCAGCCTTTCCAATGTTAATCAGCTGCTCCCGATTGTAAACCAGCTTGTTGCCATGGTTACGCATCATAACAAATGCTCAAAAAGTGAAAAAAGCTAAAAAAAAAATAGCAGTAAAAATCCTCCAAGCTTCACAGCACCAGAAACAGAAAAGTAAAGTGTCCAAAAAATAGTTTTTCTTGAGAAACTAGAAGAGAAAATGCTCAAGAAAAGGCTAAACTTACATATAGTCAACAGAGCTACTCCAACATGCAGCCACCCAGAGCAGCGCAGTTCCGGAAAAAAAGTCACTGGAATGAATCAGATAATGAGTGGGCCTAGTGTGTGTGGAACAGCAAGTCACACTGGATGGCATTTGAATGACCTGAATTGACCTTGAGTATCGTTTGCTTTGAATTTAAATTATGAGGAAATGTGACTTGTCTAAATGGAAGCTTAATTTATACTATAAAACACTGTGTTTACAACTTATTTAATAAATTGAAACTGAAATGAAGCTCCAAACAAATGCTCAAAAATCTAATAAATATTTTTACTTGTCATGTTTGTATGATGTTTCTGTTGGACCCTCAGTGAGGTTAGGGGTTAACACTAGTTAAGCTTCTCAAAATAAAAGTACTTTTGGTTAACATTTGTTTCAAAATAAAACACAGAACGCCACTTTGCCTTCCACCACGAGACGTGCTGCTTTTATTTTATAAACACGGCGTAATTATTTCCGGTGTGTTTTTAATCGTACATGTTAGCTCGATGAAACTAGGGGTCAGCATCGAGCAAGGTACAGTTAAGCAGGCTGTGTAGCACAACAAAATGAGATCTGTGGATTGAATTAGCCTTTGAACTGTCGCACTGGAGTGTAGCGTGCCGAACATAATAAATATCACCCTGTCACTTCCCCTCCTGGAGAGACGAAGCGGCTGAACCAACAGCTACCGGGCCTCGTCGTCGTGGCCCAGCAAGACTCGAGTGAAGTTGACAGCGGACTGACAAACTTCTGCTTCCTCCAGCGGCTCTCCACAGGGCCCGGGGCTCCTGTCACCGGTCCTGTGGTTGAGGAAATAAACCGAGATTAAATTATTCATCAGGTGGGATTAGGCTGAAGGCAAAAACAATCTCACTTCGTTCATGAACTGTTCCAATAATTGTGCAGCGCGGGCGAGTGCTGGTTAGCTCGGTTAGCCCAGCGGCTAGGAGTTAGCTTTAGCGTTTGATTAGCCTGATAACTTCCCTTGCCTGACAGCTAACAGTGGAGTCATTACCTTTTCATCCCCCAAAACCTGCTGCTTAAACAACAAATTGTATTTTTCAAGAATTTCATGTCAAGATAGCAGCTATTTTGAAATGTTATCCTGGCATGAGTCGTAATGTAAAATTAGCTAGCAACAGTTGTTAACTTCCGGGGCTTATGGGTTACAAATACAGTTATCTTCTAAAGGCTTTAATAACAACAATACCATAAAGTAATTAAGGCAATATTCTTAATATTCTGAGAAATAATACCTGTGTGTATTTCTAGTTGGAATATTAGTGCATCTGCCGTTCCTTAAACGTTTTAACTGATTTAAAATTACAGGTTTGTGTTCTGTTTTTGCGTCAACACCAGCCAGCTTCTGCGTTAATGATGCCACTTTAGTGAAGAATTGCCAACACTATAATTGTCTGTGAAACTTGTGTTCAGGTGAACCTACAGAGGTTTCCATACATCTTTGAACACAATGAAACTGTATTTATTATAAAGCAGGTAGCTGCAGATGTAGTATTATAAGCTGTTTGGTAATAAAAACGGCCAAAAAGCCAGAAAACCTCTGAAGTCCATGTTAAGAATAGTTTCCATAAAGCATGTTATGTTTCTTGTTGCTTTTTGCAAACACACCTCCAAAATAAGCAACAGTAGAGCTTCTTGGACTCTACAGGTGAGTTAGGGTGTAAAAAAATGAGCTCATAACAGGATGAAATAAAAGAAGACAAGAATGCTCACTGCATTTAAAGGCAACCAAAAAAGTAACTTCACCCCCATATTTGTTGAGAAATAAGGATTTTTGGTTCTGCAAAAATCAAACCAAGTGACGCATACGATGAGCCAGTTTCAGTGTCATTCCTGAATTGGATCATAGGAACAAAACAATTTTCCACAAGATTTTGTTCCCTTAAAAGACATCAGAGCAAACATTTCCAATAATCCCCATTTATGCATTTTCTTTCTGCCTCTGGCTCACCAATTACAGATCTGCGGATCAGTCAGCAGCTCCATGCTTTCTAACTTGCGTCTTCATTAAACTGAATGCTATTATTTATCCAGTTGTGTTGCTGTTTCAGGAGAAAGGAATCCCTTTGATGGGAGAGTCTTCTATCCTGGCCTCCTGGGTCAATTGCCGTGCCATGATGATGGGTATGTGTGCGAGCTTTGTGATCATGTTACAGCTGGCAGAGAGCCAGCTGAGTCTTTTGTCTAAAAAGGTTTGCGATTGTTAGCATAATGATCAAAGTGTCACTTGTTGCTGTGGATAATCTGTAAACCCGATTAATTTATCTTTGCAGATGAGCAGGAGGCCCTGAACTCCATCATGCAGGACTTGGCCGAACTGCAACGCTCCAGCCGCCCTGCTACCTTCCTGTCGGACCTAGGCAAACCCAAAGCCTCCTCGCCCAAGAACCAGGTAACCACGGAAATGTGATTTGGACATGAAGTGTGAGAAAAGCTCAACAAAGCAAACTTGTTTCTGAGATCTCAAAATAAAACCCACGTCGTCGTCCCAATGGTTTTTTTGCTCAACGTGACTTTGTCTCCACAGAATGATGTGAGAGTGAAGTTTGAATTTAAAGGAGAGAAAAGGTAAAAATGTGTTCTCTAATGCTGTTCCTTCAGACCAGCAGCAGCTGCAGCCTTCTGACTTCTCATCTTCTCTGCAGGATCTTACAGTTTCCTCGACCCGTCAAGCTGGAAGATCTGAAGGCCAAAGCTAAAGTGGCTTTTGGTCAGACGATGGACCTTCATTACACCAACAATGAGGTACAAAGCTGGAAGCTTTGCTAACACACTCAGGAATTCTGATGGACTTGTTATAATAAGATTAACATCTACGGTGTGGTTGGCTTCTCCTCCTGTAGTTGATGATTCCGTTGACCACCCAGGATGATCTGGACAAGGCTGTGGAGCTGCTGGATCGCAGCGTTCACATGAAGAGCCTGAAGATCCTCCTGGTGCTCCAGGTCCATACTGCTTTTATTTAACGCTTTGGAAACTATTGAGGTTCTAAAAGTCAGCATCCTGTTCCGTTCCTGCAGAACCCTTCCTCCAGCATGGACCTTCTGCCGTCCCACGAGGAGCTGGACAACACGGGGTTCAGGGCTTTGACAGGTGAGTGATGTATACTAGGGCTGCAACAACGAATCGATAAATTCGATGAAAATCGATTACTAAAAGCGTTGGCAACGAATTGCGTCATCGATTCGTTGTGTCGCACAACTCTTCCAAAAGCGCCCCCCCCCCCCCTTCCCGCCCGCCGTTGCGCGCAGTCCAGAGCAAGTCAGATCAGCGCGAGGGAGAGCCGGCAGATCAGCGCGAGGGAGAGCCGCAGATCAGAGCCGCAGATCAGCGCGAGGGAGAGCCGGCAGATCAGCGCGAGGGAGAGCCGCAGATCAGAGCCGCAGATCAGCGCGAGGGAGAGCCGGCAGATCAGCGCAAGGGAGAGCCGCAGATCAGCGTGAGGGAGAGCCGGCAGACTTGCGCTGCTGCGAACCGGTTCCGCATTGTTGCACAGCGATCCAGGCAGCTGCTTCCAGCGCACGGTCCATTCTCAAAGTGGCGCAACCAAAAAACTATAATTAGCACACGATCGTTCATGTCCGCACATGTTCTCTATTTTCTGTCTTATTTGTGCCTGAAGCGCGCTACTGCGGAGCTCATCACCTGTGCTGTGGTGATGTCACCTTACGCAGCATCGAAAACGCGCTCTCCGCTTTATGGTCAGGAGATCCCTTTGATCTGCTCAAAAGTAACTGATGAGGTGAAAAGGTAAGAATCCAGGCAGCAGTTTTTCTGGAGAATTAAGAGGAGATGCAGGAAGATGAGAGGCAGGACAGGACAGGAAAATAGTTCAATAAAAACAAGAAAACAAAACAAAGTGTTGAAAAGTAAAATGTAGTATAGATTTATCTCCACTACACGTTTTTACCAGTAAAAAACAATAAGTTATACACATGTAATATTTATACATCTGATACAATTCAGATCACCTTCAAAACTCAGTCACACACCCAGGGCCGTTTCAAGACATTTTGGGGGCCAAGGCAAAATGCCCCCCCCCCACCCCCCCAATAACTGGGCTCCCCAGAAGCCTCTGTGTAATCCATACCCTCTCCAGTAGTGTTAGTTATATGGTGTTTATAAAAGCCCCTCAGACATTACTGACATGTTCTAATATTATCAGATGAAAAACTAAATTATCAGACATGCTGTCTCATCTGCTGCTTTTATAAACTTGCAAAAAGTAACAAAACCATTTGAAAGCCACTATTTGTGGATTCTCTGAAAGTTTCCATGGAGTGTGTGACAACTTATTTTTTCATTGACCCTATCGTCTAATCTCACAGCTGAAACAAGCATCCTTAATAATCTGTGCACAGGAAGCTTACCGATGCTGTAGTAAAACAAAAGGTATTATAATTTATTATTAATAAAACCTTGTTGCAGCACTAAAGCAGAAAAATTAGATTTTGCATTAAATATGCAAAATATTTACATATGAATTGTTTTAGAGCCCTTTAATTGGCAGAATCTGATATTAATTTAGTTCTTACAAAAAATGGGTCCCAACATGGTTTGTGTGGCGTTGCCTTAGTGTGACGTCATAGGCACAGATCCCTGTCCTCTTGTTTGGAAATGGAAATATGGTCACCCTACATTAAACAAACTGTCCACCCGGGCTTTTGCGCTGCACAGAGACGCTTCGCTGCCTACGACTGAACGTCAGTTGAGAGTCAGTCTCATGCAGACTGACCAATGAAGAGAGGGCCTCAAGTTAAGACCCTCTCCTCATTGGTCAGTCCACACGAGGTGGGTCAAAGGTTACTTTGGGCGGGTTACGTGTTGTCAGGCATTCAGGTATTGAGTATATTTACTGCATATTACAGTAAAATATTCTGTATGTGACCACAATATGGTGATCCTTGGGTCGTGATGATGGAGCCCTTGAATATTGTTGCCCAGGGTACAACAAAGTGTTAATCTGGCCCTGGTTCCGCCGTCACATTCCCGCAGAAACTGGTTGATCACACGGGGGCCAGACTACTAGCATGTGGTTTTACAACCACAATGTCCTCAGAAGCAAAAACGCTTTTAAAAGGGAGGGAGGAGTCCTAACTGTTGCTGCAGGCGTGTTGTGTGAGAGTGCAGTTATATACTGGTTAATATATTTTTGGGTTCAGTTGCTTTCATGTGGCCTAATGTGAGTCTATTTGGGATCATTGGAATGATCAGCAGCATTTCTTGATGTGACTTTATGGCAGTTGCCCAGGGCATCATCGCAAGGAGGATGGCATTCATTTACTTTTGTTTTATTTGGTATTTTTTCAGTCATTTTTGGAAATAGTGATCAATTTTGATTAATTCACAGCCTATGTTTAATTACATTTAAAATAAATGTCAACAGATGAGATCAAACAAAACAGATGAGAATTGCCCTTAAGCTGTTTAACTTGGACCAAGCATTTTAGGTCACAGATAGATGTAGCTTAGGGTCTCTGTCTATACACCTTATAAGACAATTTAGGTGATGGCATGTTGTTTTTCTGCTATTGAACTGTTTTCTAATAATGTTGTGTTTAATAAAGTGAAGGAAGGAGAGAAATAACGTTTCCCTAGCAGTTTTTAAAAATTTCCCCATGTAATCCGATTAATCGATTAATCGTGTCGAGACCCCATCCGATTAATCGATTATCCAAATAATCGTTTGTTGCAGCCCTAATGTATACCCTTGATTCCTGTCACATGGTAGCACCCAAGTGCCTGTTTCAGGTTTAATATTCATTCTCCTCCTGACCGAACTCAGGTTCCCACTCCACAGACCGGAGCTCCCCTCCTCCAGGATACATTCCCGACGCTCTCCACCAGGTTGCGAGGAACGGCTCCTTCACCAGCATCAACAGCGAGGGGGAGTTCATCCCTGAGAGCATGGATCAGGTAGCAGAAAAACACAACGCCATTGTGTGGTGTGTCCGCCTCACCCGCCACCGGGGAGGAAATGTTGAGTCCACGATCTGACCGGGATCAGAGCTGGGTGGATTTGTGTCTTTACAAAGTTTGGTGCTGTTCTTTGGGATTTTATTGAACCTTCTGGGCCACCGTAATAATTTAGAGCCTTGAGTGTTTGAATGTGTTTTTCTTTCTTAGATGTTGGATCCGCTGTCCATGAGTAGTCCGGAGAACTCGGCATCTGGAAGCTGTCCCTCTTTGGACAGTCCTCTGGACAGGTCAGGATGATCTGCATCGCCTAAAAACCGTCTCACAAGTTCAGCTTAAGTTCCTCCTATTTACTTTTTATCACTTGTGCTCCTTTCTGATTCCAGCGACTATCCTAAGTCCAGGATGCCTAGAGCTCAGAGTTACCCGGACAATCACCAGGACTTTCCAGGTGAAGTAAAAACCTAACCCCTTCTTTCCACCGGAGCCGTCAGCAGCACGTTACTGCAGCAGCACGTCTTGCTCGCGTAAACTGCTGCTTGGCCCTTCCCACGAGACGCAAAGCAGCAGGGGAGCAGCTGTCACCGACAGAGCACGAAGTCACACGAGTGACTTCGTCAGTAAACACAACAACAAGCAGGAGAAAACTACAACATGGTTTGTGTTTTATGTTCTGTCCGTTTTATAATCGCCAATACGGACCTGAAAAACAAAGGAGACCGCTAGCTAGGTGATAACTTCTCACGGGGCCGCACAGTTAGTAACTTTTTTTAAAGTAAAGCAACCGGAAGGCAGTAAGTTTCTTTATTCTGAAAATGTCGGGAAGCTTCGCTCCGTTTCCGCGTCCGATTTCCTGTCTTTCCTTCCCCAAAAATGTCGAACTTGGCCCGTTTCAGAGGCGTTGCGCGTAAAAAATAGAACCGGCGCGGACATGCTGCTCCTGAGACGCGGCCGACTCGCGCTGCTGACGGCTCCGGTGGAAAGAAGGGGTTAATCTTACTGCAGGATCTTCTCCTGCGCACTACGGGTTCCTGACCTTTACCTGCTAAAGTTCTGATGTAAACAAGGAATCAAACTTCTGATGAAATTGTCTCATTTATGTGTAAAGAACACAGTCACTCCCTTAGAGATGGGGTGCGAAGCTTGGAGTAGATCTGCTGCTCCTCCACAGCGAGAGGAGCCAGTTGGGGTGGCTTGGGCACCTCCTTGGGGAGGGCACCAAACAGGCTAGGACCACCCCTGGATGGACTGATGGAGAACACGCAGAACGTGATGGGCGTTTTCTCCTGAAACTGACTTTCTTTCTGGTGTCTTGCTGATCGTGTTCTTCCTCTAGAGTACGACCATCCTGTGTTTGAGAAGTCGGGGAAAGGCGGGACGTATCCTCGTAGATACGGGATTACCTTCGGTCTTCAGGATTACAGTGACGGTGGGTTTTAATCTGACGCCGGAACAGTTTGAGTTTCTGGTTCAGATGAAGCATCACAGATCCCGATTCTACCAGCAGGAAGGAAGACGTTCCCTCGGGCTCGGCGAACGCAGGTTCACAATTTCCGCTCACCCGTCAGTTTCAGCCCGACGGAGCAGTCGCCCAGCACCAGCAGCGGCAGCAGCGTCTTCACCCCCGACCTGGAGGAGGCTCCCGGACCCACCAGGAGACGGAGAGACAGCGACATCGAGCCAAACCCCAACCCGTCTACAGCTCCAACCCTCTCGGTCATGGACATCAGCCCCCCCAGCCGCTGTGAGTCCAGGCTGGATTTGATCTGGATGTAAAACGGCTAAAAGGCACGACTCATCTGCTGTCTCTTTGTGTCCAGCTCCACGCGCCCCAACCAACTGGCGGCTGGGGAAGCTCCTGGGTCAGGGGGCTTTCGGACGAGTCTTCCTGTGCTACGATGCGGATACGGGACGAGAACTGGCAGTTAAACAGGTCCAGTTCGACCCAGAGAGTCCAGAAACCAGCAAGGTGTGTGTCCGCTTTGGGAGGACGTGACGGGAGGTTACGTTTCTGTTCTGATGGTTACTTCTGTCCCACTTCAGGAGGTGAGCGCGTTGGAGTGTGAGATCCAGCTCCTGAAGAACTTGTGCCACGAGCGGATCGTTCAGTACTACGGCTGTTTGAGGGACAGCATGGAGCGGACGCTGTCCATCTTCATGGAGCACATGCCAGGAGTCGGTCCTCACTTCCTTTAAAACATAGAGCTTTAACTGTCTGGTGTAAGTCATCTCTGTTGGGAGTTACTGACTGTGTTCAACACGCCTCTCAGGGTTCCATTAAGGACCAGCTGAAGTCGTACGGAGCGCTGACGGAAAACGTGACACGGCGCTACACACGGCAGATCCTGGAGGGGGTCTCCTACCTGCATGGAAACATGATCGTGCACAGAGACATCAAAGGTGAGACGACCGGTCCTGGATCTAGAGCCGAATGATTTCACAGGAGAGGAAGATGATGCAGGTTGTCTTCTTCACTCAGGGGCCAACATCCTGCGAGACTCTGTGGGGAACGTGAAGCTGGGGGACTTTGGGGCCAGCCGGCGGCTGCAGACCATCTGCCTGTCAGGGACCGGGATGAAATCGGTGACAGGGACGCCATACTGGATGAGTCCGGAGGTCATCAGTGGAGAGGGGTATGGCAGGAAGGCCGACATCTGGTGAGAGCTCATTCTTACTGGTTCTGCTTTGCTTCATCTGGGTTCAGTTCAGAACCAGAACCTGATCTTAGATCAGCTCACTTTAACGAATGAAAGTCCTCACTCTGATGGGAATCTGATTCTAGATCTGCATCAGTTCTTTCTTGACTCTAGAGTCCGAATCGGTTTCCTTATTTATCCCAAAATCTGAAAAACGTGTTTAAAGATCTCAGATTGAATGAAATCTGCCTTTAGTTTCAGTTTGTCCTTTGGTTTCAGGAGTGTCGGCTGCACCGTGGTGGAGATGCTGACTCAGCGGCCTCCGTGGGCGGAGTTTGAGGCCATGGCAGCCATTTTTAAAATTGCTACCCAACCCACCAACCCGGTGCTGCCCGCCCACGTGTCGGACCACTGCAGAGAGTTTCTCAAACGGATCTTTGTAGAGACCAAGCAGCGGCCGTCGGCAGACGAGCTGCTGAGGCACATCTTTGTACATTAACCCTAATAACTGAAGCCCCGCCCACCTGCAGAGCTGCCAAATACAGCCTTACCTGAAGGGGCGGTCCCACTGCTTACTCCGCACCTTCTGCCTTCACTCTGAGACCACATTGGACCGGGAAGGACAGGCTGGAGGGTGGTTGGGTGTTCTGGCAATAGAGGAATTGATTGATTTTAGTTTATTTTTTGACTACTTGCACCTTAAGTTCTCGACCGGTGAGAAGTCCAGCACTTCCTCCTGAAGTGACCGATAACTCTTTGGAAGCGGTTCTTTTTTTATGTTGTATGATTCCTCTCCTCCATACCCTGGAGGGGGGGGCGTGTCGGTGTTGTGGACCTGCAGGAGCTGAGGCCCGACTCTGGGGATGCCCCTCACCCCTATCTCGCTGACCCGACCCCAGAATGTAACCTCCTGCCAGAGCCCAGAGCGGCGCTGATGACCTGGACCTGCTGCTTCCGAGGAAACCCTGGCTGCAGAGATCCCTCCCTGAGGAGTTTCTGCTCTCCGGCCTCAGTCTTCGTCTCTTCTTCAGCTCCGTCTTTGCCGTGTGCCTTTTCTGTTTTTAAACGTGTCGGAATGAGTCTGGATTCTGCTGTCGCTCCGTCGTGTTTCTCCTCCTGGATGAACCAACCTCCTACATGCTGTTAGACCAGAACCAGCTGATCTCAGGTCAGTTTCTGTAACAGCTGGAATGTTTCCGATCCTGGCTCGGCTCGTTTGGATCACATGTAACCAAATATCCCTCAGGCGTGCTGTTTGGAAAGTTCTCGGATTAGGATCAGTTCCTGCTGTTCAGAACGTAGAAAGCCCCGGTGTCGAAGTCGATGAGCTATTTAGACGTTTGTGTGACCAAACCTTAACTGTCACAAATGATGGATGAAGGTGTTTTTATTTATTTAGTCCCAACAGCCCTTTTAAAAAAATACCATGCGGGCCAATCATAATGCTGCTGATACGGTGTGTGTTATGAACGCACCGTGGCGGCATGGCGTTGCGGGAATTTTGCGGCGTTCGTGCCACCACGCTTGATAGTAATGTTGCCACAACACCGGACTTGTAAACGCATATTACGTCTTGACGTGTGGAGTAACTGTCATTGAAAATGAAGTTTTGCTTTTGTAATCAGAACCAGCTGAGATGATTAACTGGAGCGATGCCGAGCTCCGGGAGTTTCTCTCTGTTAGAGCTGGAGCTCAGATCACCAGAGACAGCACGGGGGCTGTGGAGGACAGACACCTTTAGGAGCAGCTTATCAAAAAACTTAATGAGCGCGGCTTCCATTGCAATAAAAAGCAAGTTATGTCCAAGATAAACGGAAGTCCTCTGCAGTGCAGAGACCGCCCCCACGCTCTCTTTGTACCACCATCGTGTACTCTTTTGTAAAAAGGACACGACTGCGCCACGTTACCGCCACAGTCTGACCACTTGAGGGTTCTAGGGTGAACCCTGATGGGTTTTAGTGAGTTTCATTTGGGTTATGTTCTGACTAGGGATGCAACGATACCACTTTTTTCCAAACCGATACTTGGATCTGAGAACTTACCGATACCGATACTTCTACCACACAAAGAAATGCTATGATTTGGAATACAGATTTTATTTTCTTCTCTGCTTTCAACAGGAAAAGACTGTGAGGTAGATAAAAAGTAAAATATATGAATGGAAATCATCACAAAACTAAAACATTAGGTGAACAGAAATGACAAGTTATAGTGAAGCCATTTTCAAGCAACTGCATTGGTATCGGTTAACTTTTACAGATACCGATACTGGTATTGGTATTGGTGCCGATACCAATACCAGTATCGTATCGGTGCATCCCTAGTTCTGACAAGCAGCAGAATAGGAGAGGAACATCAGACAAGTGCAGAATAAGGCTGGGCGACGTGGCCTAAAATGGACAATAACTACATGTATGCACTAAAACAAGTTGTCCACTAGATGGGGCTGTTGCATGTATTATGCCTGGTCCTTAAAGGAACGTGAACATCACCAACCTGCACACATATTTTCTTTTTTTTAATTACCAAATTTATTGTCATTGGGAAAATATCTGAGTCAGAAATTTTGACAACGATAACATTTAGATGTATTGCCTAGCTCAGTGCAGAACCATCACACCTGGACTCTGGATCTGCTCATGCTCCTCTGCTGGAGTGGGTTCTGATCTGTTCTGCAGCCACGTGTCCTTGTACACTCCTACAGGTTAGATCCACACCTGGAGGTGGTTACTGCTCCCAGCCAAACAGAAAAGCTTCAGAGTGACACTCCTAGAAAACAAACAGCTGAGATCATGATAATGAAACTGCTATGGCGGGTTAAAGGTACGGTTTCACCTATCGGTGTTTCGGATTTTTAAAAGTGCAATCAGAAAATTTTACAGTTGTTTTTTTTTTTTTTTTTTTTGCGTCTTGTTTTTTACAGAACACAAAGAGCCCATGCTTTGATAATTAAAGGTGCAGTATGTAAGAATATAGTGAGAATTTTACAGTGAAAAAATCCCAAAAGAGTAATTTTTCAGTCATGTTGGAAGGAAGGTTTGACTGAAACATGTGTCATATCCCGCTGGCTGCTGGACTGTCCGATTTTCTCCTTTCAAAACGAAGGAGGGACGTAACTGTTTACCATCAGTGTGTGTGGGGTTTTTGTTTCTTTATATAACAAATTTAAAAACAGCATTACAGCAGACCAAAGCGCTGAACAGGTGGGGTTACCGTGTCTCCTGCGAGCTAATGCTGCAGCGTCGACAACTTTAATTTGATGACTGCCGGCAACAAGCTCCAGAGTTGTCGCAGTAACCAGATTTAACCACAGGATGCCATTTTTACTTCATTTCTACATAATGCACCTTTAAAAACTGTTTACAGAGAACAGATTGTGGTACTGATGCTGTTTTAGGTTATAGCGGGGAGGATTTCTGAAGGCACTTAAACTCGTGTTAAAGGTGTAGATTTAGTTTCTCTGTGGGAAACGTTTCTGCTCCACACACGGTGTGGAAACGGACTCCAACTGCGTTTTAACGGCGACCCAAACGGATCTGTGAAACAGAACCTCCTGCAGAGTCGGCCTCTGATCAGAGAGAACGATTCTTAACTGTCTGGTACTGATGGAGGTCCTCGCCCGCTGCACGGATAAACCTTCATCACCTTTATGCACTAGTGATGATTCTCTCACGCTTTCTCTCCGTTTCCTGTTTAGCTGAAGCAGTTCGCTTCAAAAACCTTTTCTTTGCACACTTGAGACTTTTTATTTAATTGTGTGTGTGTGTGTGTGTGTGTGTGTGTGTGTGTGTGTGTGTGTGTGTGTGTGTGTGTGTGTGTGTGTGTGTGTGTGTGTGTGTGTGTGTGTGTGTGTGTGTGTGTGGGGTCTAGTTACCCTCTATCGAATGTAACGTGTCATTTGTTCTTCACCACAGTGGATTAACTCTTCAGTATTTACACCTGTAGTTCTCTTATTAGCCACTGCTGCCACTCCTGTGTGTGTGTGTGTGTGTGTTTTGTGCATTTACTGCAGAACTTGCTCCTTGGATCCTGCACCCAAAATGCCTCGAGCGTTCTGACTGTAGAGGGTGGGAACATGAAAACAATAAGAAAATGTACAAATGTGTAAAATCAAATTGTATGTTTTATTTGTTTTTAAAGAAAAGTCCTCTTGTATCCTGTTTGGTGTGTGTATGTTGTAAAAGAAGCCATGTTTATAATTCAAATTGGTTTGTGACCAATGCGCCTGTTTATATCAGATCTGTATATCAGTGGTACGCATCATTTTTAATATATATTTTTTATTTTCCTTTTTTAATGGGAGATTTTATGCATGGTTGGGTCCCGAGAGACGCAGCGGTGCCGTCGAATGGTTGCTGTTTTGTGGAGTATTGCAACAGCTCTGTGTTCATAATTACAAATTATGATGAGGAAAATAATAAAAAATATTTATTTCACATCAGAGCAGTTTTAGTCTTCCTTAATCTGGTTCTAGAAGGGGTTCAGCAAAGGAACTGACCTCAGATCTGGTTAAAATGTGCTTTAGAGAAAATAAAGATCAGAGCAATAATCAGGAATGTTTAAACTGTTTAAAACTGCTTTTAGTGAATGTTTTAAATATATAAATGATGTGTTTTAGTTTAAGAACCTATGTGTACTTGCATAGTTCTTAAGATGCAATAGATCACATTTCCTCCCTTAAAGAATTAATATCAAAGGTGAAAACACCTAAATCCTGTTTTATTTACAGGTTCAAAGATTCATGCACTGCTATTAAAATAGCCAGAAAGATCAAATAAGCCTAATAACACTGGCCCAAACTAAAATAACTTGCATTTTTAAATAGAGCTCACAATCAATCAAAACTTTATTAATCCCAGAGGTAAATTAGAGTTTCAGTACACACAATTCAGAGATCAGACATACATGGGCAAGACACGTGACAAAAATTGGTGACTGTGGTCATTCGCAACCCGAGTCGCGCTACCTTAATAGAGATCAGAGGGTTACATGAGGATTGGTTCAGGTGGAGGGAAAAAAAGGCACTTCAGAGTTACCCTCCCACTGGGAGGGCAGCTTTGCTCTGCAAAAAAACACCTCAACATGTATGCAACAGACTTCAGACAACATAACATAAGACTCCAATAGGAAGGCGGGGGGGGGGGGGGGGGATCCTGTTTCCCCCAGTGAGAGCAGCCATCTACGGCGCTCATCTACTGTACAGTCACAGGTGGGAGGGAGATCTTGGGCGAAGCAAGGAGTACACTGACTCCTCCGGATTGATGACCTCGCCCGGCTGGAGGCCATTCATGTCGCTACAGACCCCCCATGGTCAATGGCACGGTGGTCGCAGAAACCACCTGACGTTGAACATTCAGAGATATGAAGGACTCCTCTGAGCAAGTCCCCCAATCCGGGGGTGGGGGGGTGGGGGGTTGGGCTGTAGGTCGGGTTTTCACAGCATCTGTCTGCATTCCTTTGTGGAGGTTTCATTTGCTTGCCGCTCAAGGCTACCAGGATGTCAGATTCGGATAACAAGAATTTGGGTCAGGCTGAGATAATTTTCTTCTCTGCCTTCAGTCTTTATCAAATCCATGGTTAGTAAAAATAGAACTTTTCAGAAGAAATGCAGAGAAGCGCTCTGTGGGGCAGACAGGACAAAGAGCCTTGGGGAAAAAAAGATAAGGGAGCGAAAGAGAAGCGTCTGTATTCCTCGAGTGCCTTGAAGAAGAAAAAAGGTATGGAGAACATAACTCATTTGTATCAGACCATTTAACTTAAAGTAGGTCAAGTGCTGCAAAAGCTGGTTTAAGGGACGTTTAACAGAGGTGAGACCAAGTAACTGCTTTGCAAGTCACAAGTCTTTCCAGTCAAGTCTCGAGTCCTTAACTTTGAATTTTCAGGTCATAATCAAATCATCTGTCCACTTTCAATTTAATGACAATGATGATAAATAAATTCCAGAAATAAAGCTTAATTGATTTGCTCAAACAAGCAGAAAGTGCAACTGAAACTGATTATAAACAAAGTGCTGCTGCAGTTAGCCGTAAATCAAACCCAGAACCAAGAATGATTCATGATTTTTGTTCATGTCGGGCCACTTTTGTGCTAAAATATCAAATATGCTCAAGTCAACAGACGCAAGTCGATTCAAGTTGCAAGTCATTGGCATTCGAGTCTGAGTCAAATCGTAAGTCTATACATTTTATCAAGTCAAGTCAGAAGTTGTTATCCCTCTCAGGCTCAAAATAATTTATGATAAAAGGACGAACAACTCAGTCCTTCAGGTGTACTTCTGAGTTAAGAAATGCTCATGAAGTACATATGTAGAGTAACCAGGTAGGTAGGTTTTAACTGTTGCAAATCTGCAATGCCTGCCTCCAGAGGGTTAAAATAATTACTTGATTCTGACTCAAGTCCAAGTCGTGTGACTTGAGTTCACACCTCTGGCGTTTAATGGCCACTAGTGAAACGAGACATCATTTGTAAACTATGAACTACAGCATCACCAGTAGATTTGTTGTATTTTGTCATGAATGCAACAGAAATGATTTTTTCTGGTAAGATTTGATCATTTTAGTTGCATCAGGTCCACCAGGCAACACCTGGAGAAGCAATTATAAAACTAAAGCTTAAAATGCTCAAGTTAGAAGTTTTTAGCAGATAAAAATGGTTTGTGTTCCCAGATTTGATGCACTTGGAGGAAGCGGTTTTAAATGAAACTCTTCCTATTGCAAAAGTTCAGTTACTTGTAAATGTTACCCAAGTAGATCGGACAACTCGGTTTTCTGAAACCAGGAACAGTAGCTAAAAAGGCCCGACTCCTTAGTCGACGGCTGCTGAATTACACATTCTTACAGCCTCCTGATTATAGTTTTAGTCTGCATAGCTTCTTCACCCCATAATTTAACACAATTTAAATTAAATAATTTATGATTTTTATGGACAGGAGAGCTTTGAGGAACAAGTTCAGCTGGCTTGTGTTTTTTAGTTTTGGTGGAATGTTGTCTGGCCCGTAGTGTGCCTTGGAATAGGATGGGACATCCATCTTGGGGTCTTCATTGTTGCTGGGGGTGATTTTGTTGCTCTAGCAGAGGCCCTCGATGATATTCAAGTTGGGGCAAGCAGTTCCCAGGAGGCTGTTTCCCAGAGGCCATCAGAGTCAGGTCTCATATGTTTTCCAGGCAGATCTGGAGGCCTGTCAGCACTGACAGCTGAAACAAGGCATCAGTGAGAGAAACCGTCGTTGTGGCGCTTCCACATCAGGCTCGCCTGTTCTTAACTTGTGTTTCCTCACCTCAAACAGCCAGGCGATGAGAACAGAGGCCAACGGACCTCCTGTGGGTGAAGCACTCCTGAAGAGACTGACATTCTTTCATCCTCAGTGTTTGTGGTTAAGAGGAGCTGAGTTTTAGATCATCTGCTGCTTGATGCAGAGTTGGGGGGAGTTAAATGTCGGAGCAGCTGCAGCGAACTCCATACAGTGCTGTGTTTTAGGCAGCTCCTTTAAACAAAGAATGCTTTAAAAATGGAAGTGTCAGGTTGTTTATTTTTATCAGTCAATAAAAAACAGTAAATTAACAAAAGAGAAATCTAAATAAAAATTTATATCTATAAAACCGTGTTTTGACGCCTCTCTCCATAGCAGCTTCAGACCCATCTCTAAACTTCCGTTCATCTCCAAGATCTTGGAAAAGGTTGTGGCTAAACAACTCACAGCTGCTCTTGATCAACATAACATCTATGATAGCTTCCAGTCAGGTTTTAGTAGAGCTCATTCTACTGAAACAGCTCTTCTTAGGGTCTCTAATGACCTTCTGACTCACAGTGATGCAGGGGACTGTTCTGTTCTGGTCCTGCTGGACCTGACTGCAGCCTTTGACACTGTTGACCATCACCTGCTACTGGAGAGGCTGAGAGACTGGGTAGGCCTATCCAGATCCGCTCTGGAGTGGTTCTCCTCTTATCTGTCTGAGCATTCCTTTTCTGTGGCCGTCTCCAAGTTTAGGTCCTCCACCACCTCCCTCTGTCATGGTGTCCCACAAGGTTCTGTGCTGGGGCCTCTGCTCTTCCTCCTCTATCTGCTTCCTCTTCAGCACATCCTGAGCTCATTCAAAGGAATCTCCTACCATCTTTACGCAGATGACATCCAACTGTACATCTCCTTTAAGCTCCATGAGATGTCTAAGCTGCAGCTGTTACACACCTGCTTAGACTCTATCAAAGCCTGGATGGCTGGGAGCTTTCTTCAGCTGAATGATGATAAGACTGAGATCCTCATCTGCGCCCCAGACAAGCTGGTTCCCAAAGTCAGAGACTCTCTTGGTCAGCTTGCTTCCCACACCAAACCTTCTGTCAGGAATCTTGGTGTGACCTTTGACCCAGCTCTCACCCTGGATTCTCATGTCAGTTCTCTTGTTCGCTCTTCCTTCTTCCATCTCAGGAACATTGCTAAGCTGAGTCCCATTCTGTCTCGCTCTGAACTTGAGACAGTTATCCACACCTTCATCTCCTCACGCTCAGACTACTGTAACTCTCTTTTCACGTGTCTGAGCAGAACCTCCCTGAACCGTCTACACAAAACAATAATGAACAAGAGTCTGCTTCTAGACCTGCAAAAAGAGAAAAATAAAGGGACACAACAACAATACAACAAGATCAAGCTATCACTGCGTAAACTTGATGAATATATGATCAACATTGTTTAACTGAACAATCACACGATAATAAATCATATTAAATCATTAAGTGCCCACCATAGCCTTAAGACACGTGTTGAACGTGCCCAAGTTCATACTTATGAGAGCACTATGTGAGCACCTGTGTGTGTACAGGAGCTTGTTTATGTAAGGTTTCTCTATAGGAGCGCCCAATAGAGAGTGTGAGGGGCCTGCGGCACTCTGGAGGTGTGCCACAGGCCACGCCTCCAGAGTGCCAAAACTCCTAACAGCCGAGCGAGCAGAATCAGAATCCGAGCGCGCAGAAAGGCTGCCGCGCGCGCAGTGAGGCTGCCCCGTGCATGTTTTCCTCTGCCGTGTGCTCGATGGCCAACACGCGCACGCAAGTTTGTCACTTGTGTACATCCTTGTGTGCTCACAGACACAGTTTGCTCCCTCTCAGTGTACAAATGACCTCTCGCCATGTATATTTTCACTCGAGAGGTTCTAACTTCCACGCGCGAGTCCCGTTCGCACGCGTGATGTGGACCCGTGGGTTTTGGCACCCATCTGACGCCATATCCGTCCAAGCTCGGGTCCTCAACCAGAGGCCTGGGAGCTTGAGGGTTCTGCACATTATCTTAGCTGATCCTAGAACTGCACTTTTCTGGACTGAGATGTCTGATGTTTTTCCTGGGATCTGCTGGGTTACGAGTGCCCCGATGACCACGCGCACCACGGATGTCTTCACTCCAGGCTTAATCAAGTTCTTCTTTGAGGCTCTGGTACTTCTCTAGTTTCTTGTGTTCCTTTTTCTAGATGTTGCATCACTTGGTATTGCCACATCCACCACAACAGCTGTCCTCTGTTGTTTGTCCACCACCACAATGTCCGGTTGGTACGCCATCCACCACTTTGTATATATACATAAATACATACATATATATATATATATATATATATATATATATATATATATATATATATATATATGATAAACACACACACACGCATGCCACAACCGAAGAATGTACAAGAACATTTGTGCAGAGTATGGACTGGAAGCCCCAAGGTAAAGGTGGCGAACACCCCTTAAGGTGGTAGAGCACTATCGAATCATAATCCTGTGGCAGAGAAAACAATCGGATTTTAGATATTAAATATTTCTGGTATAGTTTGAATATACATATTCATCTCATATAAAACATTGTCTGTAAATTAGCTTTTATAATAATCAGTGTTGGGAGTAACGCATTACAATAGTAGGGAGTTACAGTAATATATTCCTTTTTTTCAGTAACGGAGTAATATAGTGTATTACTTCAAATAAATATGGCAATATATTACTAGTTACAGTTTCGGTAACGCGAGTTACAAGCACATTTAGGTTTGAATTGATGACGTATGCATGAAAAATATGCTGCAGACCAAAACAAGTTGAATACCATTGAAGAAGATCCACTGCGCACTTCCGGTGGCATGTTGTATATCTAGACCAGATGCGCTTGCCAAAATTAAAACATGAGAGAATCAGGAAGGATGACTGAGAAAGAAACGGAGATCGACTGCACATTTATTTTTAGTTCACACTATTTTCAGTTTGTGAAAGAAAAGGACAGAAACATTATAGTGAAGTGCAATTTGTGTGCTACGTCAAAGGAGCTTTCATCTTCAAGGAACAGCACCAGTAATTTGAAAAAACACATTCAGCGATGCCATGTTAACACACTGTTGACAGAGACATGTTCTGTTATCGTTAAACATGACAGCACATTTTCTGGTGACTTGAAGTTTAACAAAATAGTGAGAAAAATTACTCTATTTTGTGGTTTCTTTCATCCCTGTGTAAAATGTAAAATGATAAGCTAGTATTTTAGGATACTGTTACACACTTAAAATATTTTACCAAAAGTAACTCAAAAGTAACTCAAAGTAGTGTAACTCAGTTACATTATTGAGAGCTTAATATGTAATACAAACATATTACATTTTTTATGCTGTAACTAGTAATATAAAATTTATTACTATTTTAAAGTAACTTGCCCAACACTGACAATAATACATAGAATGTATCAGACAATGCAGACTGGATTAAACTCAGTGAAAAGATGTTTGTGACTAAATAGAACAAACCTGGTATTTAAATGTCTGAATATATTTTATTGGTTAAAAATCTAGAGATTCTGCACAAAGGGTTACTGAGCTTCAATCTTATTAGAATAATCACCGACTGTCTTTTTGTAGTTCCGCTACATATCCGCTAGATGGCAGCATTTTCCCTCACCACGTAGTTAAAACCCATCGAGTCAGCTTTATTTGGAATTTTAATTAGAATATTTTATCTTTAGTCACATCGCTATATGTTTACATGAAGCTGTAACATTTATCGCATCTATATTTATAGTTTTGCATTATATCCAGTGAACAATGATTCATATTCTTTATTTTCATGCTGAATGGCAGATTGTGTTGTAGGTGTAGTTCAGAAGCTGACCACTAGGGAAAGGCCAGAGAGTAAGTGCGAGTATGGTGACAGCGCTGCATCACCTGGTCTAACATCAACAGTCGGTTCCGTCAGGCACCCAGACTCCACCATGAGCTCCCGGGCGGCGGTAGCCTGCTGTCTCCGTCTCCCTGTGCTCTCTGCCAGGACAGCTCTCCGGTCCGGTCAGCGGCTCCGGTCCGGACACTCCGCTGCTTTCTGCTCTCACAGGAATCTGAACGTCCAGGCGGCCACCGAGCAGGCGGGGAAGCTTAAGAGTGTGGATGATCTTCCGGGTCCCAGCTGGTCCACCACTCTGTACTGGCTGTTTGTGAAAGGATTCTCAGATAAGGGCCACTTGCTGCAGGTACTGAAGGAGAAGTCTGACTCAGAGTGATGCAACCCGCTGCTGCAAGTCAGAACAAAAAGTCTTTTTATGGAGGCAGGCTCACAGTTTCAGTAACTTTATGTATCTGGAGGCTGTTTAGAGTCAGATGTGTCGTGCTTGTTATGATCTGGTAGAGGAATGTTTAATTCGGTTAGAGGACCCTTTTCAAAGATGATCAGATATTTCATAGCAGCATAAAACTATGGAGCAGGTGGATTAAAATGCTGCAGCAGTATGTAATATTTATCATTTTGCAGGCGGAATAGACCATGACCTCTGATCCAGTAGCTACATCTCTGATGGATTTCTGTTGTAGCAATAAAAGCTGCAGGTCACCGCCAGATATGAAATAAACATTTTAAAGCAGATGAGGAGAAGTTTTTTTTTTGGGTTAGGGTATCATTCATGTTGGTCACAGTAAAACATGTTTGTTTTGACTTCCAAAGGAGAATTCTGAATAATCAGGTATGTTCCAGTGTTTACAGAAGAGTCTGTATGGACCCATCTGGCGCTCCAGGTTTGGACCCTTTGACATGGTCAACGTGGCGTCTCCAGAGCTCATAGCTCAGGTGATCCAGCAGGAAGGCCGCTACCCGGTCCGGATCGAGCTGCCTCACTGGAAGGAGTACCGGGACCTGAGGGGACAGGCATATGGCCTGCATGTGGAGTGAGCTCACACACACACACACACACACACACACACACACACACACACACACACACACACACACACACACACACACACACACACACACACACACACACACACACACACAATATGTGTTTGGTGGAGCATCTTTGTAGAATCTCCATAATCTTTTGAGTTATTTCTCTTCAGAATCTGATAACTTTACAACAAGGGTCCCTTTATTAACATAACTTAGTGCATTATTAAGCATTAATAAACTATTAACGAGTGCTTAACCATATTATGTAACTTATTACTAAGCACACAGGTAAAAATGGCAGTCCAAAAATAGGTTAAAAAACATTAGAACAAGGTATTTTTCCTGCTAAGAGTCAGTCAGTCACCAGTAGGTGTGTTGGCCATGACAGCGCCAGAGAAGCTCTCTTTTGTTTTTTTTTAAATCAGTTTCTGGCTTCCCCGTTCCTCTGGAGAGGACACACACACATCTGTCTATGGCTGCCACTGGTTCTTCTCCTTTAGTATGTTACACGTTAGTTTATGATTGACAGTAAGGTGAATGAAGTTGGGTACATTGGCAAAAAATTGTCCACAAGTAAGAGTGGTCCTTAAAAATAAAATATGGACAAGTAAAAAGTACTCTCTTCAAAAAATAGTGTTTTTAATCCATTGTTAAAATGCTATGTAAGTAGGAAGTAACTGCCCCTAACAGCTGATTTGTCTTTACACTTGCCCCATATCTGTCACCACACTGTCATCAAATGGCAATAGATTGAAACAAGGTGCTGGTTTTGTTGAAGATCCTGCCGTTTCTTATTGACAAAATTGGAGAAAATCCTCACACACAAGTGCTTCTTGAGATGTTAAGAGATCATCAAAATTCATTTTCACCTATTATTGCTGTCTCAACTCTTTCCAGGCTAGGGGTTGTATGAACTAGTCGACTTCACTGCTCTGTAGTGACTTTTTATGCCTCTCATAGACTAGTCGCTGTCTATGTTGATAATGACTGGCAAGATGCAGTCCTCGGAAAAGACAGCAGGCGACGAGCCCCTGCGCGTCGGGAGGCAACGCGCTGTGCCAGAGCATCGATACTGACACCCGCCGTAAAACGGACATTTGACCAAATTGTGACGTTTACCCTCTTGCAATTTAACCTTCCCCTCACCCCCATCCTAACCTTAACTAGCTTGCGCATGCAAAGCTTTGATCGTTGACGCGCTCCAGACATCTGCGTCCTGAGCACGGCCACAGTAACATTATCAAATCAGGTGTCACCACTCAAAAACAAATGTAACACACGATCGTTCATGTCGGCTCATTTCCTTTTATGTTTTCTGTCTTTTATTTGTGCCCTATGCTTTTTGCTGCTGTGGAGCGGAGTGCATCACCTGTTTTGTCCTCCGGTGATTTCATCTGACTGGTGCAGCCGGTGCGCACTCCGCTATTTTTGCGGTCGGTAGATCTTTTAGAACTGCAGTTCAAAGGTAACTCATGAGGTGAATATAAATGAACCCAGGTAGCAGGTTTTCTTTAGCATTGAGAGGAGATGCAGGAAGATAATAAACAGGCAGGACAGAAAAAGTCAAATAAAAACAAGTTAGTTTTTGTACCTGCTGGTTGCAACAAACAGACACCACTGAAGGTAATCAAAAGTGAGGAACAGAAAATGAAATAATTATTTTAATGTTTAGAGCAGCAGGAACTCTGAGAGGCTGCAGGCGCATCAGTGAGTTTGCGGCCGCTGCGCAGGGGGAGGGGGGAGAGGGCTGAAGCAGGGGGAGGGGGGAGAGGGCTGAAGCAGGGGGAGGGGGGAGAGGGCTGAAGCAGAAACTACCGTTGTTAAAAGAAATGTGTTTAACTTTGAAAATGTGGACGCAATTTTAATTGTCAAAAACTCCAGTGACCCCCCCCCCCCACGTGTATGACGTCATCAACGACTAGTCGAAGTCGACTCGATTTTCATTACTTTTTAGTCGACTTTAAAAAAAATTAAGTCATGCAGCCCCTACTCCAGGCTGAAACTTTTAATAGAGCAGCATTTAAAAAATGTCAGAAAACTGTTTCCAGATGAAAATATTATACCTGAGCAGCATTATTTACTGCATATTCCTAATCAGGTTAAGGCACTTGGTCCTACAGTGAGACATATGTGCATGCGCTTTGGGTCAAAGCATTGTTTCTTCAAGCAGTGGGCTCTGAAAAGTAGTTTTAAGAATATTTGTAAATCCCTTGTGAAGCACAACCAGCTTTATGCATGCAGTCAGAATGTGCATGTCAAACATCCAATTTTTTCAAGTGAAGTTGTCATGGGTCCAGCCTCTGAGGTGAAAAACGTTCACTACGTAAAAGGAACGATTAAAGACTTTGTAGAGCAAGTTGAATAGGTAGTTTCTGCACCATGGATTATGCTGCACGGAAATAAGCATACTTGTGAAGAATCTTTGGTCATGTCTGATGTCATCAATGACATGCCAGAGTTTGCACTTAAAGAGCAAGTCACCCCCAAATCAACGCTTTTTTCCTGATAAATTATAAATGTGTGTCTAATCGTGCTGCAGACACGTGTCATCAATAGTTTTGCACTTTAGTGCATTTTAGTTCAAATTTTAATTTTCTGCCTGAAACTGTCAGTGTTGTGCCGTTGTCAGGTACAAACTCTGCACTGCAGTTGAATTTAAATCTGCCAACGCTATTGGCTAAGAGGTACCCTAGAACGTTAGCTGGTACCATATGATGTCACAATGTTGTTGTGAGCTTGTCTGTGTGTGTATTTGTTAGCGGCTCTGCCCTCTCGGTCGGCTAAGCAAAAGCATTTGTTGCATTTTTCAAACAGGAAGTGGAGGTTCGAGTAAGAATCTGGAAGGGGGTGACTTACTCTTTAAAAACATTTGTATTGTAAATGCCTCCATGTATTGTTTTGAATGCCAACCTCTCTCTACAGTTGAGTGGAATGATCATTATTTAGCTGTCTAGCTCAGGTAAATATTTTTACAGATGCTGGAAATCTTGTTGGTTATACACCGTACTATCATGTAAACTCTAACAATACCAAGTACATACCAGTGAAGCATGACCTCACAGATGTGCTTAAACATCATTCTTGTATCTTATAATGCTTATAAGCACTTAAAAATTGTTCTTTTTTTATTTTATTTCAGCTTTTCCATTTTGTTCAGAGTCACTTTAAAATGTAAGAGCAGAATAAAGAAGATTTGACGTCCAAGTTTAAGTTTATTTCTTGAAACAAGATAATTCATCTTTTCAAAATACCACAGCAGCCTAAAAACTTCATGAAATGTCAAAAAAAAATCTGGTTTCACGTGACGTGTGACTCAAAACAATGTCTTTAACAAGAAATCCTAGATGTATTGTGTAAAAACAAGTTCCTTAATCTCAAAGAAATTTTACTCCTTAGGCGATTGTGTCTTATTTTAGGTATGATTAGATATTTTTACTTGAAATTAGACAAATTAAGCCCCATGAGATGTCTAAGCTGCAGCTGTTACACACCTGCTTAGACTCTATCAAAGCCTGGATGGCTGGGAGCTTTCTACAGCTGAATGAAGATAAGACTGAGATCCTCATCTGCGCCCCAGACAAGCTGGTTCCCAAAGTCAGAGACTCTCTTGGTCAGCTTGCTTCTCACACCAAACCTTCCATCAGGAATCTTGGCGTGACCTTTGACCCAGCTCTCACCCTGGATTCTCATGTCAGTTCTCTTGTTCGCTCTTCCTTCTTCCATCTCAGGAACATTGCTAAGCTGAGTCCCATTCTGTCTCGCTCTGAACTTGAGACAGTTATCCACACCTTCATCTCCTCACACTTAGACTACTGTAACTCTCTTTTCACGTGTCTGAGCAGAACCTCCCTGAACCGTCTACAGGTGGTTCAGAACGCCTGTGCTCGGCTTCTGACCAAGTCCTCCAAACACACCCACATCACCCCGCTTCTCCTCCAGCTTCACTGGCTGCCAGTCAACCTCAGGGTTCATTTCAAGATCCTGGTTCTGGTCTATAGGGCCTTACATGGACAAGCACCATCTTACATTGGTGATCTTCTTAGTCCCTACACCCCCAGCAGGTCCCTGAGGTCCAGTGATCAAAGCCTACTGGTTGTGCAGCACCAGGCTAAAGGTCAAAGGTGACAGATCATCTGCTGCTGTGGCCCCCAGACTCTGGACCTCTCTCCCCCTGAGCCTGAGATCAGTGGATTGAGTGGACTCCTTTAAAAAGCAGCTGAAGACTCACCTGTTCAAGCTGGTTTTTGTTTGACCTTCTTCACCTCTCTCTCTTTATTCTGCTCTCCCCACCTATTCCACCTTCCTCAGGATCCACTGATTTCCCTCTTTCCTGTTCACTTTCTGTCTCTCTTTACAGTTTTTAATCATAATTGTCTATTTTTTGCTCATTCAAATATATTTTGAACAATTTTCTAAATTCTTTTTTATATTTTTACATTTTTTGTTTTTGTGATTTTTATCTTGAGAGGCGATATAGAAATTATATTTTCTTCTTCTTCAAATGCACTTGACAAGATTTTGAGTTTTTGCAGACACTGAACTTTAAAATAAAGGTGACATTAACAAAGGGACCCCATTGTAAAGTGTTGCGAATGTTGCTTAGAGCTCCTTTGGGATAAAAAAAACAAACTGTAATTTTATAGCACAGGACCAGAGTGGCACCGGATCCGCAGCGTCCTGAATCCCAAGCTGCTGAAGCCGCAGGCGGTGTCAGCCTTCGCCCCCATCATCCACCAGGTGGTTGGAGATCTCCTGCAACGTGTGGAGCTCCTCCGCAGTCGCAGCCAGGACCGGGCCACGGTTCTGGACCTGGCAGCAGAGCTCTACAAGTTCGGCTTTGAAGGTGGGAGCTGCTGCAGACTTTGCAGACAGTTCAAGTGGAGGAGAATTTGATTGTTTCTCCATCCTGCAGGTATCTCCTCCGTCCTGTTTGAGACTAGGCTGGGCTGTCTGCAGGAGGAGATTCCTGAAGACACTCTGCGCTTCATCGCTGCCGTCAACAAGATGCTGACGCTGTCCGACATGGTGATCCTCTTCCCACGCTGGAGCCGCAGCATCCTCCCCTTCTGGGGGCACTTCGTCCAGGCCTGGGACGACCTCTACGATGTGGGTACGTCCTCATACACGCACAGAAGGACGAAATTCTTGTTTCAGTTAGTAAAGTAGTTTTTGTTTTGCAGCTCAGAAGCTCATCGATAGGAGGATGTGTGAGATCGAAGCTCGGTTGCTCAGCGGCGAGCCCGTGGAGGGCACGTACCTGGCCTACCTGCTTTCCTCTGACAAGCTGAGCAGAGCTGAAGTCTACATCAGTGTGACAGAGCTGATTCTGGGGGGGGTCGACACGGTGAGACGTTCTCCCTCCGACTTCAGGATGAGCCGTTTCACACGTTAAAATACAAAAACGCAGCAGATTCAACTCGGTTCAGTCCTGATAAATAAGGGAGATTGAAGCCAGAAGGTTTCAGGATGAAGCAGCTTCTCCGTGTTTTACTGGCGGAAAAAAATCAGTCACAAACAACCAGAGGAACAGAGGTGTGGACCTGATTCACCACTTGTTCATCTGGACTTTCAGCTCAGCTCCGGCTCCTTTGACTCACCTCTCCAGACCAGCAGAACCAGAACAACGGGAGTCAGGATGTCTTCCAATCAGTTTAGTTGTCAGAACAAATGCCCAGGGTTCCTTCAGTTTAAATACCTTCAGACAGTCTGAGGGAATCAAACCCGCAACCATCAGATGAGTTATTGCAGCACATGCAGAGTTGGAGCTGTCATGAAGCTGCTTGGCTGCTTTCCCAATTGAACTTTAGTCTTATTTTCATATACCGTAAATCCTCTAATACAGGCCTGTATTCAATTAACGGCCGGGTCTCATATTTTGGCCGGTGTCGGAGTCGGCGGAGGTGAATAATGGCCGGTCTCTTATTGTGGCCGGGTGGAATGTGGTAACAAGCAAGTACGGGGGCGGTTGTGTCATCGTCTCACTTTTGATTTGCCAGTGATAGACCGCGAGGGTAACTTTAACGGTGCGGAGAAGAAGAGGAGGCGAAAATTTGATATCAAGTTCAAAGAGAACGTGCTGATTATGCTGCAGAACACTGGGGAGCAATAGGGGTCGTATGAACTAGTCGACTTCACTATAGTGACTTTTTATGCCTGTCATCGACTAGTCGCTGTCACGTGATAATTACCGGCAAGATGCAGCCCTCGGAAAAGACCGCAGCCTGCTGTCAGCAGGTGACAAGCTCCTGCGCTGGGGGGGGCAACGCGCTGTGCCAGAGCGTCGGTACTGACACGCGATCGTTCATGTCGGTTCATTTCCTTTAATGTTTTCTGTCTTTTATTTGCGCCTGATGCGTTTCGCTGCTGTGGAGCGGGGCGCATCACCTTGTCCTCCGACGCACCGATCACTGATGCGGCCGCCAAGCAGCAAGCGCTCCGCTGTTTTTGCGGTCGGTAGATCTTTTAGAACTGCAGCTCAAAGGTAACTCATGAGGTGAATATATATGAACCCAGGTAGCAGTTTCTCTTTAGGATTGAGAGGAGATGCAGGAAGATAATAAACAGACAGGACAGAAAAATAGTCAAATAAAAACAAGAGATTTGTACCTGGTGGTCGCAACAAACAAACACCACTGAAGGTAATCAGAAGTGAGGAACAGAAAATGAAATAATCATTTTAATGTTTAGAGCAGCAGGAACTCCGAGAGGCTGCAGGCGCATCAGTGAGTTTGCGGCCGCTGCGCAGGGGGAGGGGGGAGGGGAAAATATGGGCGCAATTTTAATTGTCAAAAACTCCAGCGAACCATTAGTTCATTTTGCTCAAATGGAAATAGAGGCCTGCCTCTAATACTGGCCCTCCTTCCAATAAAGGCCTGGAGCTTGATGAGCTTGAGTCAAATACAGGCCCGGGCCTGTATTAGAGGATTTACGGTAACTTCAGACTCTAGGAATGCAGAAACCAACAGAGGAGCTCTGATCAGCAGTCTTGATAAAACGATTATGCAACATGTTTTTGTTTTGGTTCAGATCGAGTTAAAGAATGCTCAGAGTAACCTTCCTGTCTGTTGCACCTGATGCCAGACCTCCAACACCCTGTCCTGGGCATTGTACCACCTAGCGCGGGACTGCCGGGTCCAGGACCGCCTGTACAGAGAGCTGGACTCTGTGTGTCCCAGCAAACAGCAGCCGACTACAGAACACCTGAGCAGGATGCCGTACCTGAAGGCCGTCGTAAAGGAGACGCTGCGGTGAGAAAACATCAACTCTCTCATTTAGATTCTGAAACAACTTAAATAACTGAGTTGGTTCAACTTTCTGCAGTTGTTAAAGGTCTAAACTCTTCCCTAGATCTAGTTTCTTCTGGTTCCTTCATGTGTGTTTGTACCATCAGGTCCTAAAACATGTTTCATCTCTTCAACAAGTCATGTTTCTGCTGATGTGTCATTTGCACCTTTAGACTAAAAACAGTCATTCAGCATCCTTCTGAGCCACAGCAGCAGCCTGGTGGTAAACCAAGTGTCACTTCCTTAGTTCTGTGGTAGAACTGGAAATGAACATTTGAGTTAAAACCGTTTAAAAATGACCTTATTCTCCTCAAATGGTCATTTTTCTTTCATACTGACCCACAGTTCTTTTTGTTGGATTAGAAATTCTCCAAACTTATAAAATCCATCTGATTCTTACCTTTTACATCGTCCAGCTGCATTTTAGTTACTTCCTGTGATCTTCATGAAGCAGCAGAACTTATTTCATCTTCATGTTTCCTGCAAAACTTTGACCTTTAACCTTTGAACTCTGCAGGATTTGTTTCTGTTTCTGATTATCTTTCCCATCCCGTTTTTACTAGATTATGCACACACACATTTTGTTTAGAGGAAAACCTGAACACTCAGGAGTTTAAAACAGAAACTTATTAGAAGTATTTTTGCTGATTTTGAGTTTAAATCCAGTACAAATCTTCACAACCGACTGTTGGTCTAGACCAAGTTGGTTCTAGAACCAAATCAGCAGGTTTTCTATAACTTCCTGTTCCTCTTTCAAAACCCAGAAGAGTTCATTTTAATGTAAGAACTGACTTTACAATTGTAGCGTAGATAAGCTACTTACTAGGATTTAACGCTGTTTGCTATCAGC